TCCTTTAAGAAAACTCCTGGAGGTTGTATTCACACTTTTGCTCACCTGTCACTGACCTAACATTTTTCTGCGGCCACACCTGACTCCAGAGAAGCCGGGGAGCCAGCAGGACCAGGAACAGGGAGGGACACCCAGGTCGACAAACAGCGCCCGCCAGCCTGGAGCGGCTCTGTCCCGTCCCACACTCAGCCCACAGTGCCGGCGGCTCCGGAGCTTCGGGAGGAGCAGGATGCTTGAAAAGAATGTGGACTCAAGACACGTGACGCCCAGAGCCTGCAGCTGGTGAGACGGGCAGAAGCAGCCCTTAGAGGCCGATCCCTCCCATACACCACCAGGACAGGCCATCAACCTCGCCGGGCCCCAGCTTTCTTGTCCATGGAAGAGGGATGCTAACAATTCCCACCTCAGAGGCTGGGCTTTAGGGGAGGCTGGGATCAGAGAGGCTGGGATTGGGACGCTGGGATGGAGGAGGCTGGATTAGGGAGGCTGGGATGGAGGAAGCTGGGATGAAGGAGGCTGGGATTGGGACGCTGGGATGGAGGAGGCTGGATTAGGGAGGCTGGGATGGGAGGAGGCTGGGATGGAGGAGGCTGGGATTGGGAGGCTGGAATTGAGGAGGCTGGATTAGGGAGGCTGGGATGGGAGGAGGCTGGGATTGGGACGCTGGGATGGAGGAGGCTGGATTAGGGAGGCTGGGATGGAGGAAGCTGGGATGAAGGAGGCTGGGATTGGGAGGCTAGAGAGGCTGGACACCAGTGGGAGGGACCCACTGTGTTCTCCTGGTGGGAGAATCAGCCTTGAAGTCAGCAGAGCCCAGAGCTGCGGGGCTGGACCACGGCGCTTTGCACGTGGCTCACTGCCACCCCCGGGACCTGAGCAGGAGGAGCGGCCCTGGTCCCCCGTTGACTGAGAACCATCCCCCTGCACCTGAAGCAGGAGAAGGGTGGGGGGAGGTCACCGAGGGCTGAGGCAGCAGCAGGAGAGCAGCAGGTTCCAGGCCGGATTGGGCAACACCCAGGCCACAGCCTCCCTCCTGGGATGATGGGATGGGTGTCTCCACCTCAGATAACAAAAGAAATGTCTGATTGGCCGCGGGCCAGTCCTTCATAGGGTGTGGCAAATGGGAGGCCTCGAAAGGCCTCAAATTCTTACAGCCCAATGCAAACCTAACGGGGGCTCTGGAGCCGGCGCGGAGGCTGCGTCCCCATGGAGTGTGCCCTGCTGCCGTCAGTGCGTCCGTCACTCCGGTCTGTGCTGTTCTGTGCATTTTGTTCGATTCTTTGTTCAACAAGCCAGGAACGTGGGCTCACAGTCAGGGCCTCTTGTCAGGTACCACACCCAGCAGGGCCCCCTCCCGCCCACAGCGGGAAATGATAACCTCTGAATGAGGCGTTTGGAGGGACTGTGGGTGATGGTGCCAAAGACAGCCCTGGAGTCAGGGACAGCAACACCTTCCAGACAAGCACCCACCCAGGGAGAACAACCCTGCCCTTCCCGCCACGGAAGAGCCCAGGTTCCGTCGGCTGGCCCAGTGGCCGGGCCCTGCAGGGACACTGTGACCAGAGCCGCCTCCGTGAGGGGAAACAAGAGCTGTGGAGTCCTCGTGTTCTCCCCATCGCCACCATGGTCACCTGTCCCCAAACTCACGCAGGAAGGACGGGGCAGCTGGGAAGGTGGTGCATCTCCACCCTAACATGGAGAGCCCCAGTGCCTGGGACGTCCTCGTGACATTCACAGGGCACAGCGTCCTCCAGCAGTGAGCACTGGAGAGGCTGAGACAGTCCTGGGGACCCTGGGAGACCCCGCCCCCAACCACCCTGCCTCACTTTCCAGTGTGCTCCTCCTGTCCTCGATGGTCTGGTCAAACAGCAGCTGCCACGAGCCAGCTCGCACCCCTGCCTCAGGCCACCTCTCCTCCGGTGCAGGCGAGCAGCCTGCTGTGGTGTGGACGTCCTGCCTCCCAGTGTCCCATCCCCACCACCTTCAGGACCACCATGCCTAGGAGCAAGAGGCACCAGTGCACGGGCAGCCTGTGGCTCACCTGCTGAGTGGCTGAGGATGTGGCACATGCTGTCACCAGAAGGCAGGGGGGCCACCCGGCTTTGAGCCTCCTTGGCGGTGAGATGCACAGGGGCAGCCATTCCTCTCCCTTCTTGCCATGTCCAGAGCAGGAGACACATCTGGTGCTCAGGCCTGTATGTTTGTGAGGCTGGAGGTCAGGCCTGTGCGTGCGTGAAGCCTCACTCACTCAAGATGAGCCCCTCCTCACGCCCACATCTCCTCCTCCTACTCGCCTGTTCCCTCCTCTTTCCTTCCCCTGTGATTTTGGAGTCAGAGACTGCGGGGACAGCAGGGACGTGGGGCACACACGGGTGTCCGCTCTGTCCCTGCCTGCCCGCTGGAGGAGGGCCCAGCTGTATTTTTCTTCCTAGAAACTCATTTGATCCTCTGAAGGCAGAGAAGGGAACGCCGGAACACAGGCCTTGGGTGTCGGCCTCATTCAGTCCAGGGCCTCCCCCACCCGCCGTCCTCGGGCCGCTGGCGCCTCCACAGTCCAGAGCAGCTGCTGGCTGGGGCCGGGCTCCGTGGTGCCCGAGGGCCAGGGTGTGAAAGCTGCGTGGCCCTCGTCTGGCCAGGGCCCCGGCTCCGGCCTGGGCGGTGCCTGACTGTGTTTACCTCGTACAACGCGATGCTCTCCACTCCACAGCTGGGGACAGCGGCCACGCGTATTCCGGGTCTTATCTTTCCACAGGACTCACACCACTCTGTGTTCAAAAGACGACTACACAGTCCTAAACGAGGTTGCCCCAGCTTTCCCTCAAGTGGGGCTCGGCCGAGGGCAGACCAGGCCAGCCAGGCCCTGCAGGGCGGGAGATGCCCATCTGGTGGGAGCCACATGCAGCCCTGACATGCCCATGCCCTCGCTCGGGCACCCACCCCCATGCCTAGAGCCGGGGCTTTCCCTGGGGCCTCCGGACGGCAGGAGTTGCAGGCAGGGCCTGTGGGGTCGGGTTTCTTCTCTCCAGAGCTCCTGCGTCCAGGCCGGAGCATCAGGCTGAAGGAGCTGTCCCCACGTTCCCAGGGGGCTGCTCCTGCCAGGGCCCGGGGGGTTTGTCAGAGTGAGTCCCTGGGGTCCAGGCCAGTCATCTCGCTCCAGGCCAGTCATCTCGCTCCAGGCCTCCTGGCCCGAGGCCCTGACCAGACCGCTTGCTCTGTACGATGCAGGGCCCTCTCCACATGACAGAGGGGCCCACGGGCCTGGTCCAGGCTGTGCTGGGAAGTGCAGCGCCTCACTCTGGGGTCGGTGTTGCTCCTCTCTGCTAAATATCATCCCGTGGACCCCATTTTCCACATTTTCTAATTATACTATTTCGTTGTTAGAAAAAAGTTTTACTTCTAAATATGGCGGCTCTTGTCTCTGTACTTGTGGAGCTAGAATCCAGAAGAGAATGCAGCTCCCCTCACGTGGCACCTGTGGTCTGGTCACCCAGCTATAAGCCACGTCATTCGTGTTCAGCCCCCGTCAGTCCCATGGGAAGTGGCAGCCGAGGGGCAGCCCCATAAGTGCCGCCTGAGCCGGCGGTGACCCCGTGTTGATGCCTGGCTGAGCTCAGGGGGACGGTGCACCCCTTCTAGGTCTGCCTGTGTGGGTGTCCCCTGTAAGCTGGCGCTGCCTGGGCCCTCACCAGGAACAGGTTTCCAGGGACACCGGGGCTTGCCAGCTGCACCCAGCAGCAAAGAGGACTGGGCAAAGAGCTGAGGCTGCAGGGAAGAAACTCAACCCCCATGGGCCCCACCGGCCTCTCCAAGGCCCCGACCACTGGACCTGAGGAAGCCTTGAGGAAAAGTGAGAGGGGTGGAGACGGCCACGGGCAGGACTGGGGGTCCAGAGCCGCCTGTCTGGTCCTGAGACTCAGCCCAAGGCCTTGGCTGCCAGCCTGGCTGTAAGGAAAGCCTGTGCCAGGCCTTGGGGACCCCACTGCTGAGCACTCATAGAAAGCTCCCAGGGTCCCCAGGACTGTCTCAGTGAAGCCTGATATGCCCCTGGTGGGGGTGGGGAGCAGGACCCTTTCCCCTCGTGCCTGAAGCCTGTGCCTCTGGGTCCCCTGTGGGGTGGGGGCCTCATGGCCATGTATCTGGGTGCCCGGTTCTTCCTCCATGGGGCTTGTCACAGGAATGGCTGGAGTGCCCAAATCTGAGGCCCTCTGTCCTCAGAGCCCTCGTTCTCCCGGCTTCAGGCACCGGCCTCCATCTATGACTCCCCAAGGAGCCACACTTCCCTGGTTATCCGCTGCCCTCCACCCCACCCACTGGGGCCCTTGAAGCCCCTCCACATCTGCTCCTCATTCCTCCTCCCCATGGCAGCCCTCGTGATAGTCCCAAAGGCAGGCTGGTGTGAGGCTCTGTCTCCAGCTCCTGCGTGCTCGGGCTCCAGGCTGGTGTGAGGCTCCATCTCCAGCCCTCGTGTGCTCAGGCTCCAGGCTAGTGTAAGGCTCCGTCTTCAGCCCTCGTGTGCTTGGGCTCCAGGCCAGTGCGAGGCTCCGTCTCCAGCCCGCATGCTCAGGCTCCAGGGTGGGCTCCACTAGGAGTCCAGCTGCTGTGTCTCCCTCCTTCTCTCCTTCGGAAATGCTGCACTGAGCATGGCAACTGCCATACAGGGCAGTGGCTGGGCTTCTCCCGCCAGTCCCGGGGGCCGCCCCCGCTGGCACTAGGGGAGGCCGCCCGAAGCACCCAGGATGCAGGGAGGATGCCCCGAAAGGAGCCCTTTTCCCTTCCGAGGCCTCCAAGGAGCCTGGGCTTTGGAGCAGTGAGGCCCTTTAGAATCTCCTGTTCCTCGGATCCCCCGCAGCAGCCCTGGGATTTTCCCAATCCCTGTGCCTGCTCATGGAAGGCTCTGGGGCCTTCTAGAAAAAAGGGAGCCATTGTCTTCTCAATGCTTCAGACGCTGTGCTTGCTCTCTGCCAACACCCAAAGGGGAGGAGGAGTCGCGTGGCATCCGGGGCTGCAGAGGCTGCGCCCTCCCCGCTCCTGGCCTTGAGGCTGCTCTGTTCCTGAGCTGGGCACAGAAGCTGCAGTGACTCAAGGTCCACCGTGGGGTCGGACCTCGCCCTGGGCCCAGGTGAGCCTGAAGGGACAGTGCTTTGAGGGCTGGCCCCACACAGGTCCGGGGGCCTGGAAGAGAAGGCCACACCTGTGCCTGGTGGTGGAGGGGGAGGGAGGAGGGGCTGCTGCCACTCTGAGCAGACCCTGGAGGAGCATCAGGACAGACCCTAAGGCACTGCTTCTCCCCCACCCCACCGCCTTGGGAGAGGGTCCACCCCATTCCTTTCTGTCTCCCGTGACCTCTGACCCTCAGCCCCTCCTTCCTCTGGGCCCTGGCACGTGCCTGTCCTCCACCCATGCCAGCTGCTGGGCTCCTCACACGGAAACCCTGCTGAGGGGGCATGAGGGTCAGGGACTCTGGGACTCAATGCTGGAGGCTCCGTGCTGCCCTGGGACCTCCCCGGCAGTGACCCTGACCCCTGGACCTTGGCCACCCATCCCAGACCACACCCAACCTGGCCCTTCCAAGTGTCTAGCAAACCCTGCTAGGAAAACCCTGCACTTCCGTGCCTGGGGCCGGTGTCTGCCCAGGACGCCTTCTCTTCTCTTTCTCGTTCCTTTCACTGAATTGTCTTTTCTTCTTTGAGATGGAGTCTCGCTCTGTCGCCTGCAACTTCTGCCTCCCAGGTTCAAGCGATTCTCCTGCCTCAGACTCCCAAGCATCTTCTAGGACCACAGGCACACAGCACCATGCCCAGATAGTGTTTGTATTTTAAAAATATGTTTACATTTTTATCTTTTGGTGCCATGACTCGGATTTTTGTATTTTCAGTAGGGATGGGGGTTTCCCTATGTTGACCAGGATGGTCTTGACCTCATGATCCGCCCGTCTCGGCCACCCAAAGTGCTGGGATTACAGGTGTGAGCCACCAAGTCCGGCCCCAGGCACCCATGAGGTTGGCCTTTTTCCCACCCAGGAGCCCCCATCCTGCGTGTCCTCTGACCGCTGCGGTGACCTCACCTCGAGTGGGCTTCAAGGGAGGCCCCAGCACTGCGCAGAGGTGGGGTCCTGCCTCAGTGTCCCTCCCGACCCCTCCCTCTCAGGTCCCCTCAGCACCCTCGGCAGATGCACCTGAGAACCCTGCTGAGCGGGCATCAGGGTCAGGGACTCTGGGACTCAAGGCCAGGGAGCCCCCCCCACCCCCCGCTGCCCCAAGGAAGGGTGTCGGGGCCCTGCCTCTCCCACGGCCCACCCCTCAGTGGCAGCGGATTGGAGTAGGGTGCCGGGGAGGCCCTGTGCTCCCGAGGATCTTATCAACACCACATGGTTCACCTTTGCTCCGCGGTGCTGCTGTTGGCTGAGGGAGAGCGAAGGGGAGTTACATTTTAACATTCGCGATAGTGGATGGTGTACAGGAGCTCCCCCGGACAGCTGCTGCCGGCGAGGGTGCCCAGGGGGGCTGTGGGCACACGGAGAACCCTCTTCAGCATGATTGCTGTTGGTGAACTCTGAGTTTCATTCACCCGATAAAAATGTTCCCCCAAATGAGGTTTCCTTGGAAGCACTTCCAGCTGCAAAGTGCCTCACTTGGCGTGAAGGTCAATGAGCCGGCGGAAGGGGCAGAGACAAGTATTGTTAATGGCGCTCCTGCTCTCGGCAACAGCACGGGCTCCGTAAACAGGCAGGCTTCGTTCCTAGGAGTCCTCTGTCCTCAATGACGCTGCTTCGTAATGACTCCAAGGCCAGCTCTGAGGCCAGGGTGTGGACCCCAGATACAAAGATGCTGGGCTGGCAACGCCCCTCACCTGGAGGAGGACAAAATCCTCAGGAGTCCCAGATGGGCGTGGGGCAGGAATTCGGCAAACCACATGGAGCATCTAGTACCTGGTACCCAGCACCCAGCACCCAGAACCCAGCACCCAGAACCCAGCACCCAGATTCAGCAGCCAGCACCTGGCACTGCACTCAGCAAGGCCTAGAGGACACTGGGGCCGGCCCCAGGGAAGATGGGGAGAGCAGGTGCTCCGTGGTCAGGTCTGGGCAGAGGCAGAAGGGGCCGGCCAGCAGCCTTTGGGTAACAAGAAAGCTCCTCCTTGCTTGGTTTGTAAGCTCTGAGATCCCTCAGGGGCTGTGGCAGGGGGTGAGGGAGGGGCAAGAACGGGGAAACAGGAGAAAAAAGGGAAGCCCTCTGCTCCCTCAGCTCCTTCCAGGGCAGCAGCCCCCTCTGACCAGCTGTGTGTGCTCCACTTCCACCTAAGGATCCCATCAGGGCTGCTAAATGGGGAGCCCCGTCCCCCACCCCGAGGTACAGCCCTGGGCTCCCGACAGGCTGGGGAGGCTGGAGAGCTGTGGGCAGGCCCAGCCAGGGCCAGCAAGGGTTCTGCACTTCAGGGAATGGAGATGATGAAGGTCTGGGCACACAAGGCCCTGGGTAGGAGGAAGAGCACCGAGGTGCTGGGGGAAGGGGCCTGGAAGGATGTCTGGAGGCCTCAGAGAGCAGACTCACATGGGGACGATAGCTGCCAGGGGACCCCCACACGGGCGCAGGGGCCAGACAGGCAGGGCTCCTGAAATGTTCCACAGAGGCTGACCCTGCTTGGCCCGGGTTCTCCTCACAGATGCTCAGTGGGGTCCCAGGTGCTTCTCGGGAAAGCACAGGCCACTGAGAAGATACCTCCCTGGTTGATGCTTAATCATGAACCGTTGCTTAGAAACCATTTTTCGAGATTCTGGAGGTGCTTGGAGGAGGAGCTCAGGGACAGCCCAGGTCCTTGGGGGTCAGGCTGTGGCCTTGGATGCCGCTTCTGTCCCATCCACAAACAACTCAGCACCTCCTGGGGCTGGAACTGGCATTCAAGCCTCCCCTGCACCAGGGACCCCTACACACCCTGGGACCAGGTGGACGGACTGAGGCCTCTCATGCCCTGGGGTCAGGTGGACGGAGCTGAGGACCACCCCTCCTCTCTGGGACCCAGGAACGCTGTGCCCACATCCTGGGCCATGGAGTCTAAGGGCAACTGAGCTCCTACTTTGAAGATCTAGGTTCATTTACTGACTGGGCAGGGGTGGGTGCTGGGGCCCCCAGCTGGAAGAGGCAGCTCCCCGGGAGAGGCCAGTGGGAGGACCTTATTCTGGGTGGGGCTGTGAGGTGAGCAGGGCCCTCGGGCTGGGCTGGGTTGTGGGAAGGAGGCCTGGGGTCTGGTGCCCCCTTGGCCTCCAGCTGGAGTGATCTCTGTGTCCCCAGGACTCAGTTTCCTCATCTGTAGAATGAGGGCTGACCCAGCCAGCCCTTTGTCACCAGGTGCATGGAGTGCCCTGAGGGGCTGTGGGAGGGGCTCCTCCCCCAAATCCCTCAGCCCAGGGCCTTCAACAAATTTGTGTGTATTTGTTTTAGACTGGACTTCCTCTCAAAGCTGCATTTGAACAAAGATTTCCAAAAACTGACTCAAACACGGCTGGAACTCCAGACCACATGACTTCTTACCACATCTGTGTCTAAGGAGGTGAACCTCCTCCTTGCCATGGGACGCACCTGCCCCCAGAGCCCGCTACACCCGGTGCTAGGTCCAATCGACCCAGAGGCGTCCCGGGTCCAGGAGGAGCCTCCCCTCTCCTCCCGGGCAGCCACACTTGCTCCCTCCTGTCTGAGCCCCTGCTGGTCCAACGCTGCATTTCCACACACGTTCCCTAAGTCCTGGACTGATTTCTATCAGATCCATGGTCGAAAACAGTCAAGATGGCTGCGTGTGGCGAGTTGGCCCCATGGCTTGGTGGGAGGGACCTGGGCGCCGGCCGGTAAGCTCCCAGGCCCTTGCTCTTCGTCCCTGGCTGAGAGCGCTCACCTCAGTAGGCTCCTTCCTTGTCAACCCAGCACCCCGGGGCTCAGGTGGTCAGCTCTGCCTTGCCACGGGCAAGCCGGAGGCTCTAGGCTGCTTCCCAGGGTTGTTGAGAGTCCGTGACCAACCCTGCAGCCTCCTGCTCCTGTATCAGCCCCATGCCCGACAGGCCCCTGTGCCTGGCCTCTGCGTCCTCTTGGTGCCATCCCCTACCCAAGCCTCCTCCAGCTCCTGCTCTGCCCCCACATGGGGACTCCCCTCTCACCTGGGCTCTTCACCCCAGGAGGATGCAGCCTCCCCCAGGAGCCTGGCCCTGCGGGTGGACCCGGTTCATGGAGGGACACCAGCTGTGTCCAGGTGCCGGCAGCAGAAGGGGAAGGGAGTTGGAGGCATAGGGACTGCTCGGGTGGGAGCTCACTTTCCGGAAGGTCAGGAGAGGGTCTGCCCCAGAGTCTGACCGCACAGCGCCCCCCTCCACCCACCCCATGTGCCTCGGCTGGGAGAAGGCTCTACTTCTAGAAGAATCTGCCCAGGAGTTCAGAGGTGGGGAGGCTTTGGAACTAAGATGTTTATTGCAGCCGTGTTTGTAAACAGGAGCATTGTGGAGCGTTCAACCATAGAAAACAGAGAAATCAGCCAGACGCATCTGCACACAGAGCCGTGCACCCTGTGAGAAACTCCAGGTGTGAAGTGCACCACCTGGGAACGTGTACTGGCACATACGTCTAATACGTGTGTCAGGGTGGAGTTGGCACGTATGTGTAATATGCGTGTGCATGTGCCAGGGTGGAGTTGGCATGTACATGTAATATGTGTGTGCATGTGCAAGTGTCAGGGTGGAGTTGGCACATATGTGTAATATGTGTGTGCAAGTGTCAGGGTGGAGTTGGCACGTACATGTAATATGTGTGTGCATGTGCACGTGTCAGGGTGGAGTTGGCACATATGTGTAATATGTGTGTGCAAGTGTCAGGGTGGAGTTGGCACGTATGTGTAATATGCGTGTGCATGTGCCAGGGTGGAGTTGGCACATGCATGTAATATGTGTGTGCATGTGCAAGTGTCAGGGTGGAGTTAGCACATATGTGTAATATGCGTGTGCACGTGCCAGGGTGGAGTTGGCACGTACATGTAATATGTGTGTGCACGTGTCAGGGTGGAGTTGGCACGTACATGTAATATGCGTGTGCATGTGCAAGTGTCAGGGTGGAGTTGGCACATATGTGTAATATGCGTGTGCACGTGCCAGGGTGGAGTTGGCACATATGTGTAATATGTGTGTGCAAGTGTCAGGGTGGAGTTGGCACGTATGTGTAATATGCGTGTGCATGTGCCAGGGTGGAGTTGGCACGTACATGTAATATGTGTGTGCATGTGCAAGTGTCAGGGTGGAGTTAGCACATATGTGTAATATGCATGTGCACATGCCAGGGTGGAGTTGGCACGTACATGTAATATGTGTGTGCATGTGCCAGGGTGGAGTTGGCACATGCATGTAATATGTGTGTGCACGTGTCAGGGTGGAGTTGGCACGTACGTGTAATGTGGGTGCACATGCCAGGGTGGAGTTGGCACATATGTGTAATATGTGTGTGCACGTGCCAGGGTGGAGTTGGCACATATGTGTAATATGTGTGTGTACATGCCAGGGTGGAGTTGGCACATGTGTAATATGTGTGTGTACGTGCCAGGGTGGAGTTGGCACATACGTGTAATATGCATGTGCATGTGTCAGGATGGCGTTGGCACGTACGTGTAATATGCGTGTGCACGTGCATGTGTCAGGGTGGAAAATGCTGAACTGGCTGTTTCTCGCCCATGGACAGCGAAATGAGGACGCCCGTCCTCTCCCTGTGTTTGTTCTGCATTTTCCGAATATGTTACAAAACTGTGTTATTTTATAATCCCACACATTTACACTACCGTTATTTATCTGACAATAACTGTGGGTGTCCCTTCACTTTTCCCAGCTGTGTGCTGTAGAGCAGAGGGTTCTGTGGATGACCGTGGCTTCCAGGAAAGGCTCTGACCCCTTAGGCTTCCATGCCACAAGCATCAACCTGGCCACATCCAGGCCCAGGGCTCTGGCCGGGTAGCCTCCCTGGACCCTTCACTCAGGACAGCCAGGGCGCCATCGGACACACTCGGTGGAAGGAGGCCACAGCCCGTCTCTGCTTCCGCTGCCACTGCTGAGCTTTGCGGCCCAGCTGTTCTGGTGACTCAGAGGAAAGTCTGCAGCCCGTCCCAGCTTATCTCTGGCTTACTTCCGCAAGGACCCATCCACGCTTGGGTAAGCACTGGCTCTCCTGATAACCCAGCAGTAAACACAGCAGGAATGTGGTGTCCGTGGGGGAGGGAGAGCAGCACTGCAAGGCCAGCGTCCTGGCAGGCAGGTGCCCAGAGCACCACACCCACAGCTGTCCTGGGAATTCCCACCCGGGCCCTGAGCACCTGGGGCACGGCCTGTTCCGGGAGTGCGCTGGCCCCAGCATGGAGCACCCATGAGTGCTGCGGGCACTGGCCTTTCTCACCCTCTGTTCTCTCTCCTCTCCTCTTCCCTCCTTCTCTCTCTTTCTGCCCTATCTCCGTTTCTCTCTGTCTCCTGTCTGTTTCTGTGTCTTGCAGTCTGTCTCCCCTGCCCTGGCAGGTGGCACGCTGCTCCCCCTTCCCTGGAAGACAAAGGCAGAGGCAGGGGCAGGGGTGAGGGTGACCAGGACAAACGTCAGAGGCAGCGCTGACCCCGTGGATTTAGCTCCAGGTCTGGGGGAGGCGGGAAGCCTCAGGGTCTCGTGACTTAGGAAGCTCCTGCTCAGTGACTTGGGCCTTACAAACCCTGCTCCTCCATGGAAACAAAGCAGCCGGTTCAGAACAAAGGTTACTGATGGGTGATCACGAGGCTCTCCACAGCCACCCTGTCGGCTGCCGCCGGACGCCGGGTGCTGGGGGACATGAGAGGCACCACCAATGAGCCATCAGATTCCCTGGGACCTCTCTGGCCGGGCGTAGGGGGAATCTGAGCTTTTAGGATGTCTCTGCTCTGTCCTGAAGGCCATCCCAGGAGCGGCACCCCCAGGTCCCCTTGCTTCTCTCCTGGGCCCAGCCCGGCCTCACACTCATCTCGCTGCACCTGGAAGTTTCCAGAAGGGATGGAATCAGGGGAGACTGTGCTTCGCTGAGATGGCTCCAGCCATAACTCAGGTTTGACGGCCCCACTCTGGTGGACAGCTCCTCTAGGGCGGAGGCAGGAGCCCCGTGGCCCCGCTGGGGTGACATGGGCGCTGGGGGTGAGCCTCCGCTGACGATTCTCAGGCGGGGATGGGCGGACGGCTATGGAGTCTAGGACGCAGCAGGTCCAATCCCTGTCGGGCTGCTTGGCCTTCTGCTGGGGACCGTGACCCTGCCTTGGCTGGCGGTGAGCAGACAATGGGGGCAGCACAGGAAGACCAAGCTGGGCTTCCTGCTGTCCCATCTCCAGAAAAGTCTCAGAGGCTCTGAAGGGGCGGTGACTCTGAGGCGAGCCCCCTCCCTGCCACCCTATCCAACTGGACGTCATTCTTCCACACCAGAGGGGAGCGGGGACCTGGAGGTGATTCCCACGCATGTGTCTCCTGCGGGCTTGGTGCCTATGGGATGCCCTGGGGGCCCGGAAAGGCCAAGACCAGGGCACGCTGGGACCCCTGGGGTCCTGGTGGCTTCTGAATGCTGTCCTTCAGTGAGGACCTGGCTGGGCAGCCGGCTCATTACCAGGCTGCTGTGCCCAAGCAGACCTCTGCAGAGCTCAGGGTCCATCCACCTTGCAGGGCTGACGGCACAGCTGGCGGCCTCCATTGCTCAGCACTAAGAGGTACTGGCTGGGAGCTGAGGCCTCTGCCAGCAGGCTGGGTGGGGGCTGGGAGGTGGCACAGTGGCTGGGAGAAGGGGGCCGTCCCCAGGAGAGGAAGAATCCAGACAGCGTGTCCAAATGCAGTCCTGGGCCAGTGTGGGGCTGTGGTGGCTGAGGCCAGTTCTTGGTGAGGCTGGCCCTTGGCCATCCATCCTGGCCACGTGGGTGCCTGTGACCACGCCTCAGGCTCTCCTCGTCCAGCCTTGGGGGTGCCGTGCCTCCTTGTCCCCTTGAAGGAGCAGGTGCATGGATGTTGGAAAGGCTTTGGCCAGCAGATGTGGGCAGGGCTGGTCCATACCTGGTCCCCAGCCTTCCCGCCCCAGCTTCAGCCTCTGTGGGTTCCTGCAGGTGCTCATGAGGTGCAGCTGCCTGGAGGGTCTGAGGCCCCAGGACATCGTCGTGGACAGTTGGGGGATATTTGTTCCTGCAGCGTAGCCTGGCTCGTGCAGGCTAAAATGTCATGTCTTCCGGATGATTTGAAAGGTGGGGCGTCTTCTGTGAGAAGCATCTAAAGCTGAAAGCATGCCCCATTTCAATAAAATCCAAGAGGCAAAAACCACGAAATTGATGAGGGATCAAATCCCCTCTGCAAAGGATTCCAGGAGGTCTTTGGCGTATTTCAGCTGCATGTTGTTAAGTTTATGGAGTTAACGAAGGTTTTAAAGAAATGATGTTATCTACTGTGAAGACGCCGACTTCTGTGGTGGAGCGTGACTCAGCGTTTTAGAGAATTCTGTGATGTATGCGTGCACCCTGAAGATACGTGCAGCCTGAGGCCTCATCTACCCCAAGGACACCATTGGAAATGTGGATTAATTAAGTCATCTGGTCAAGGAATAGACACGAAAAACTCTGTTTGTGGTGAATTGAAGCCAGTGTTGTAAAAATTATGCATGACGGACAAGTTGGGATTATTCCAGGATGGTACAATTGGTTTAGTATTTAAAAGTCAAACTGTGGGCCGAGTGCAGTGGCTTGTGCCTGTAATCCCAGCCCTTTGGGAGGCCGAGGTGGGCAGATCACCTGAGGTCAGGAGTTCAAGGCCAGCCTGACCAATATGGGGAAACCACGTCTGTACCAAAAATATAAAGAATAGCCGGGCGTGGTGGTGGGCACCTGTAATCTCAGCCACTCTGGAGGCTGAGGCAGGAGAATCGCGTGAACCAAGTGAGCCGAGATGGCGCCATTGCACTCCAGCCTCCGTGACAGAGCGAGACTCTGTCTCAAAAAGAAAAACCAAGCAGTGTAATCACCTCGTGAAGATAATGGAAAATGAAGAACAATGTTTGGTTACTTCGAAAACGTAGGAAAGAATTTTATGAAGTTTGTCATCACTCGTGATAAAAAGTGGAAGGTCAAGGAGGGGTGGGGGCAACGGGAGCTTCTTTTCTGGATGAGAAAGCGGTGACGGACGCGTGCACCCCGGTGTGAGTTCCCTGAGGGCCACTGGATGGTGTGCTTGAAGTGAGCAGATTCTGAGACTCAGTAAAACTCGTGAAAAAATTAAACTCTTAGTAAACTGAGAACAGAAGGAAGCATGTTTACTCTGAGAAGAGCTTGTACGAAAGTCTCCACCGTCCTCGGTGGCTCCGAGAGTGACGTGCCGACGGCTTTCCACAGACGGGGCGAGTCCACGAGGCTGCCACGGGGACTGCACCCAGCCCGGTGCTGGACACAAGGTGGCAAGACGAAAAAAACGGAAGAGCCGACGAGGACCCGCGGTCGGCAGAATTTCATATTGAGGTATCTTTAAATATCAGTGGGCAAAATATTAGAAAAAGATTTTGCTATAAAGTCAATATACAGAAATTACTTGCACTGTATTGTCAGAGCTAGAGCGCGGGCAGGAGAGACTAAAAGAAAGGATTTGCAGTGAGGGGAGAAGACGGACGCCATCGGGGAGGCCGAGGAAGACGAGGGCCTGAGGAGCAGCGAGGAGGCCGCACGCCGCTCTGGGGCAGTCCTGGGCCGCAGCATCGACATGCGGTGGCATCCGTCAGGGGCTGGGCTGGTGTCTGTGCTGTGGGATTTTGTGCAGGGCTGTGGTTTTGCGGTCATATTTTGTGTGGGTCTTGTCAGGCACCCGGTGGGAGGCCCCTCCCTTCACTGCCTTCCCGGGCTCTGGTCTCAGCGGGTTCAATGCACAGGACCCCTTTCAAATCTGACAGCTTTCGGGTGACGTCCACCAGCAGGGCCCATAGGAGATGGCGACTGAACAGCAGCACCATTCACGACAGCATCAGAAGATAAACACCCCGCAATAAGGCTGATGAACGGTCTGCAGGACTCCTACACGGAAGCCAGGAGACGTTACCGAGAAGACAGCCTGACTCAGCGGAGAGAGAGGCTGTGTCTGTGGTTTGAAAACCTTAACGGTATAAAGGCTTCCGCTTAAACCGACTCTCAGATCTGTAGGTTCGATGCATTTCCATGAAAACCCCAAGGAGGCTTTTTTCTGTGGATTGTTATAAAATATCCATGTTCCTGAGAAAAATGAAGTGGAAGGATTTTATCAGCAGATCCCAGACGTATTGAAAGGCTGCGGGGAATATTACAGGTGCAAAGTAGACAAGACCAATGGACAAATCAGGAAGCGGGAAGCCGGCGGGACAGGCCTGGACTTGGGGCCTGGCAGAGGCCGCCCGAGAGGCAGGAGGTGGAGGAGGAAGCTCCGTGGCCGGAAGGTGGGCAGAGGGGCTCATAAAGAACAGACGGCCGGTCGGCTTATACTTGAGAGCTGCCGTTCACCCAAAGATGTCACAGAGAGGGAGGGAAGGCTGTGGACTGGGGGGACAGATCGTGGAGGGGGAGGAAAGGCTGTGAGTGGGGGGAGAGACTGTGGAGAGGAGGAAAGGCTGTGAGTGAAGGGAGAGGTCCTGGAGGGGGAGGAAAGTCTGTGAGTGGGGGGAGAGATGTGGAGGGGGAGGAAAGGCTGTGAGTGGAGGGAGAGGTCGTGGAGGGGGAGGAAAGGCTGTGAGTGGAGGGAGAGGTCCTGGAGGGGGAGGAAAGTCTGTGAGTGGGGGGAGAGATGTGGAGGGGGAGGAAAGGCTGTGAGTGGAGGGAGAGGTCGTGGAGGGGGAGGAAAGGCTGTGAGTGGAGGGAGAGGTCGTGGAGGAAGAGGAAAGGCTCTGAGTGTGGGGAGAGATGTGGAGGGGGAGGAAAGGCTGTGAGTGGGGGCAGATTTTTGAGGAACAGAACTTTCTGGAACATGTTCAGAGTCCTGAGAATCCCTGGGAAGAAGTCAGCATGTGGTAGCAGAGCGCGTGTGGACAGACCTTCCTCAGGGCAGCCAATGGCCAGCGAAAGCCGGAGATGAGGTCCAGCATCCCTGGCCACCAGGGATCCGGAATTAAAAGACTCTGACACTCTGGCTAAAAGGTGAAAAGGCTGGACGCCGGGCATGGGTGGGGTGCAGGGCCGGGTGACCGGCTGGACACACACTCACCTCAGCAGGCAGCACTTCCCCTCATGGGCACTTATCTCGAGGATCTCTGGGTGTGAGATGTCCATGGCAGCTTTCATCCTCAGGGCGCAAATGGGACACCTGCCCTCCACGGTGGAGCCATGAGGGGGCCGTGGCCGTGGGCCTGGGGCGGGCACAGTGAGCGAGGGTGCGAGGCCCGCACAGCTCTGGGCAGAGCAGCGAGCCGCCTGTGGGTCCAGCTGGAGACAGTGGCTCTTCCTGGAAGGGAGAGGGGGCTGCGGGCTGCTTCGGTTCTGGAATGTCGTGTTTCCCGATCCAGGCAGGGGTTTGTTCCACGGAAGTTCATCCACCTGGAGAGAGACACAGGTGCAGCACATCCACCCCAGCAACACTCTCCAGGGAAAAGGGAAACCGAGGCACACAGGGAATTTCCGAAGCCAGTGCACAGAGGACATTCGATGTCACACTCCAGATGGCATTTGAAAGAAAAATTAAACAAAAATTTAAACCTAACAATTTAAACATTTAGTAAACAGAAACTTCTCATGAGATAGTGTTTGTGTTTTCTTTTTTAGCTTTTACTTTTACTTGTGGGCACAGGTGCAGGCTGTGCCGGCTTGTTGCGTAGGTAGACGTGTACCATGGGGGATTGTTGCACAGATTATTTTGTCACCCAGGTGCTAAGCCCAGTGCCCATTAGTGATTTTCCTGATCCTCTCCCTCCTCCCACCCTCCACCCTCTGACAGGCCCCGTGTCTGTTGTTCTCTCTATGTGTCCCTGGGTTCTCAGCATTTAGCTCCCACTCTTAAGTGAGAACGTGCAGTATTTGGTTTTCTGTTCCTGTGTTAGTCTGCTAAAGATAATGGCCTCCAGCTCCACCCATGTTCATGCAAAGGACATGATCCGGTTCTTTTTTCTGGCTGCATAGTATTCCACGGGGGTGCATGTACCCCATTTTCCTTATCCAGTCTATCGCTGATGGGCATTTACATTGATTCTGTGTCTTTACTGTTGTGACTAGTGCTGTGACTGACATGGAGTGCAGATGACACAAGGTGTTTAGTGAAAATCATGGTCAGAGAGGTGAATCTGGTGTCGTGAGTGAGTGTATCACACACAAATATTTATAAACCACAGGACAGGGAGAAAACCAGTGACTGTGTTTCTCTCTGGGAGGAGTTGGAAATGCTCCAGTGTCCTTTGCTGAGCTTGTGATAAGGAGCTTTTGCAGTGAGTTGCTTCGTAAATGTGAATACACTGTTTTCCACTGTGGATGCTGAAGGACCCGCCACACAGCAGCCACCCCTCCTGGTGCTCATCGTGGACAAAGGTGACTTTTCACCACGAGCCCCACGTGGCCTCTCTGCCCTCGAGGGAAGGCACCCTTCTGCCGCCTTGGCCTTTCTGATGAGTCTCAAATGCAACCCGGAACCGGCAGAAGCCTGGAGGCGGTTCGCCTGCCCCTGAGCTGCCTGGATTTCAGAAGGGAGCCTCAGCCCCTGACCCCCGTCAGCAACGTGGTGGGGTCTCCTGTGGCCCCTGGAGCCAGGAAGAGGGCAGAGGCAGTGGGGAAGCCTGCCCGGGAATGGCCGTTGGGCCTCCAAGCTGCAGGGCGTCGTTTCTGGTTTGACACTCACAGATATTGACGAGGGCTCACGAGGCATCAGGCAGGTTCTGGAGGCTCGAGGCTCACCAGTAAACAGAGGACACAGAGATTCCCACCTGGTCCCCTCACGGCCTAGTGGGGAAGAGAGGACATGACCCCTTAGCCCAACAGCCAGACAAACTGTGCAGCCCGTGGGAGGAGCCCCTGCCATGCAAAGGAAAGGTGGGAGAGGCATGAAGTGGGGCACGGAGTGGGTGAAGGAGGGGCACCAGGCGCAGCCCCATGGCGTGGCCTATGCTTGGCCTGTGCTGACCAAGGCAACACCCTGGGAGGCAGCTCCAGCCGGTGGCAGGTGCAGGCCAGGCCGGTTCGAGGACCCTGCAGGGTCACAGGCCATGCACAGGGCAGGTAGGACCCTGCTGGACCTTGGGATGATGGCCTTTGCTCTAATGAATACCGAAGGGTCTGAGTGACAGGGACTCGGTCACCACCTGGGGAGTGTAGGGGCCCCGAGGGCTGCTTCCCTGGAGCCTGGAAGAGGACATCTCTGTCCCTGCCTCTGAGGAGTGGAGATCACAGACGGTCACCTCCCTCCTCCTGGGACCCAGTGGACGGTCATCACAGACTCACCTCCCACCTGCTGGGACTGAGGGGACGGTCACCACAGACTCACCTCCCACCTGCTGGGACTGAGGGGATGGTCACCACAGACTCACCTCCCACCTCCTGGGACTGAGGGGACGGTCACCACAGACTCACCTCCCACCTCCTGGGACTGAGGGGACGGTCATCACAGACTCACCTCCCACCTGCTGGGACTGAGGGGACGGTCACCACAGACTCACCTCCCACCTGCTGGGACACAATGGACGGTCATCACAGACTCACCTCCCACCTCCTGGGACTGAGGGGACGGTCACCACAGACTCACCTCCCACCTGCTGAGACACAATGGACGGTCACCACAGACTCACCTCCCACCTGCTGGGACTGAGGGGACGGTCACCACAGACTCACCTCCCACCTGCTGGGACACAATGGACGGTCATCACAGACTCACCTCCCACCTGCTGGGACTGAGGGGACGGTCACCACAGACTCACCTCCCACCTGCTGAGACACAATGGACGGTCACCACAGACTCACCTCCCACCTGCTGGGACTGAGGGGACGGTCACCACAGACTCACCTCCCACCTGCTGGGACACAATGGACGGTCACCACAGACTCACCTCCCACCTCCTGGGACACAATGGACGGTCATCACAGACTCACCTCCCACCTGCTGGGACACAATGGATGGTCACCACAGACTCACCTCCCACCTGCTGGGACTGAGGGGACGGTCATCACAGACTCACCTCCCACCTGCTGGGACTCAGGGGACGGTCACCACAGACTCACCTCCCACCTGCTGGGACACAATGGATGGTCACCACAGACTCACCTCCCACCTGCTGGGACACAATGGACGGTCACCACAGACTCACCTCCCACCTGCTGGGACTGAGGGGACGGTCACCACAGACTCACCTCCCACCTGCTGGGACTGAGGGGACGGTCACCACAGACTCACCTCCCACCTGCTGGGACTCAGGGGACGGTCACCACAGACTCACCTCCCACCTGCTGGGACTCAGGGGACGGTCACCACAGACTCACCTCCCACCTGCTGGGACTCAGGGGACGGTCACCACAGACTCACCTCCCACCTGCTGGGACACGATGGACGGTCATCACAGACTCACCTCCCACCTGCTGGGACACAATGGACGGTCACCACAGACTCACCTCCCACCTGCTGGGACTGAGGGGACGGTCACCACAGACTCACCTCCCACCTGCTGGGACTCAGGGGACGGTCACCACAGACTCACCTCCCACCTGCTGGGACTCAGGGGACGGTCACCACAGACTCACCTCCCACCTGCTGGGACACGATGGACGGTCACCACAGACTCACCTCCCACCTCCTGGGACTGAGGGGACGGTCACCACAGACTCACCTCCCACCTGCTGGGACTGAGGGGACGGTCACCACAGACTCACCTCCCACCTGCTGGGACTGAGGGGACGGTCACCACAGACTCACCTCCCACCTGCTGGGACTGAGGGGACGGTCACCACAGACTCACCTCCCACCTGCTGGGACTCAGGGGATGGTCATCACAGATGGTCACCTCCCACCTCTGAGATGCAATCGACAGCTATCACAGGCGGTCACCTCCCATTTTCTGTGCCTGTGAGACCACAGCAGCAGCACAGAGCCCCGTGCTGCTGACACGGCCTCAGGCTCTGCAGCAGGAAGCGAGGTCCATGGCTCACCCAGTCCCTCCTCCCACCTGGCAATGGTCCTTGGCTCACCTGGTCCCTCCTCTCACCTGGCAATGGGCAGGGTCAGCCAGGGCTGTGGTGGGCTGAGCCCCTCCCAAGGGCTCTCCGTTCCTCAGAGGCAGGGACAGATGAGTTGCTCTCTTCTGCAGGAAGAAAACTCCGGTGCAGGATCAGAACCAAAGCAGCCCCTCAAGGCCCTGTTGAGGGAGCTGCTGCAGGTGTCAGGCACTGGTCTTCCATCAGTCATGGCTATTTCTAGATATTTTCTCAGGGAACGAGCGTGGAATACATAACTGAGGTACAAGGCAGTTAGGTACTGTGAGAATTGGGTGCTGTGGGGGTTGAGTACTGTGGGAATTGAGTACTGTGGGATTTGGGTGCTGTGGGAGTTGCGTGCTGTGGGGCTTGGGTGCTATGGGAGTTGAGTACTGTGGGAGTTGGGTGCTGTGGGAGTTGGGTGTTGTGGGGCTTGGATGCCGTGGGAGTTGGGTGCTGTGGGAGTTGAGTACCGTGGGAATTGGGTGCCGTGGGAGTTGGGTGCTGTGGGAATTGGGTGCCGTGGGAGTTGGGTACTGCGGGAGTTGGGTGCTGTGGGAATTGGGTGCCGTGGGAGTTGGGTACTGCGGGAGTTGGGTAATGTGGGAATTGGGTGCCGTGGGAGTTGGGTACTGTGGGAATTGGGTGCCGTGGGAGTTGGGTGCTGTGGGAATTGGGTGCCGTGGGAATTGGGTACTGCGGGAGTTGAGTACCGTGGGAATTGGGTGCCGTGGGAGTTGGGTACTGCGGGAGTTGAGTACCGTGGGAATTGGGTGCCGTGGGAGTTGGGTGCTGTGGGAATTGGGTGCCGTGGGAATTGGGTGCCGTGGGAGTTGGGTGCTGTGGGAGTTGAGTACCGTGGGAATTGGGTGCCGTGGGAGTTGGGTGCTGTGGGAATTGGGTGCCGTGGGAGTTGGGTACTGCGGGAGTTGGGTACTGTGCTTTGTTTTACATACATAAATGCTGAGCCTGAGGGCATTGAGATCTGTGGGGCTAGTGGCCCAGCAAATGTGGGTCCAAGTTGATTCTGGTTGCTACACAGCAACCAGGTTGCCTCTGCAGAAGTTTCTAGAGGCACTGAGGGGAGGAGGAAGCCCTAGGGCCACTGGCCCCAGGCACCCGTGAAGGTGGGCCCCAAGGCCTCTCGTGAAACTCAGGTGTGTCCAGTGGGGCTTGCAAGGGGCAGGGGCCCTCCATACACACTGGGGACATGCCTCTAGTCCTCTGCGGTGTGGGGTCCCCCACAAGCTCGTTCAGAAGGCCCTCCCTCAGCCACCCCGTGCTCATTCTCCCTTGCAGGTCCTTGGGGTCCAGGAGATAGATACACCCTCCGCATCTGCAGACTGTCCTGGCCCCTCCACCATCCCCGGGTCCCCACTCTGGGCCTGGGCCAGCCACTGACTCTGTCTCTGTCTGTTTCGGTCGCTCTGTCTCTGTTTCTGTCTGTCTCCCTGTCTGTCTTGTTCCGCTGTCTCTCCCTGTCTCTCTACGTCTTTCTGTCTTGGTCTGTTTCCCCCCATCTCTCCCTGCCAGTCACTTTTTCTCTGCCTTTCTGTCTCTCCCTCTTTCTCTTTGTGTGTGTCTGTGTCTCCCTATCTCTTTTTCTCTGTCTCTGTCTCCCTATCTCTCTTTCTTTCTCTATCTCTGTCTGTCTCTATCTCTCTCTGTCTCTCCATTTCTCTGTCTCTGTCTCTTTCTCCATCTCTTGTCTTTTTCTGTCTCTGTTTCTTCTTATCTCTGTCTCTCCCTGTCTTTCTCTGTCTCTATTTCTCTCTTTCTCTGCCTCTTTCTCTTTTTCTCTGTCTCTCCCTCTCTCTGTCTCTCCCTCTCTTTCTCTGTCTCTCCCTCTCTCTGTCTCTCCCTCTCTTTCTCTGTCTCTGCCTTTCTCTCTCTGTAGCAGCCTCTTCCCAGGCCCCCACCCTTCCCTCCAACCAGCGCTGTGCTCGGAAGCCAGGCGTCCTAAATACGAACCTGATGGCCTCGTTCTGGCCCCTCTCTGGGTTCCTGCATCCTAGGGGCAAAGGTCATGTGCCTAAACTTGCTCATCTCTGAGTGGTGCCCCCGGCGCCTTTGCCTCCATTACTCAGGGACTGTCAGGGTGAGTGGCGTGTGGGGATGGGGACAGGGCCGGCTCTGGCCCTGATCGCCCAGCGGTGCGGACTGAGATAAAGGAACCAGGAGACTACAGAAAGTTCCCGTGGGAAGGTTGGGAAGGCCCTGGCTGTGGAGGGCACGGTGTGGGCAGTGGGGCAGGGGGCTGTCGAGGGCACCCAAGGAGCTGACCCCAGAAACTGAATGGAGGTGGGAGGACTTCTGGGGAGGGAGGGGGTGTGGCACTGTCCCTGGCCCCAGGAAGGCAGGTCGGGGTATCCCAGAGTTTGGGGTCTCCTGGATGGGAGAGACTTGAGGGAGGCCCTAGTGGGGACCCAAATGGGCAGAGCCTGAGTGAGGAGGGGACCCCCGACTCCCTGTGGAAAAGCAAGAGAGAGCCCTGCTCTGGCTTTGGTCTTGGCTGAGATACAACCCCCGGGGTGTGAGCCTGTCCTGAATGCCCCTCGACGTTCCTCTGGCCTCTCCTGGACCTCATGGTCAGCTGCGTGGCTTCCCTGCATGGCCTCCCTGCTGGGGCAGGGACCCCATCTCCCCTCACCGTCCATGCTCAGCACAGGACTGCCCCCACAAAGTACTCCACAGAAGGACAGAAACCCTGCAGTCACCAGGAAAGGGGGTCCTGGGGGGCTGCAGTCACCGGGAAAGGGGGTCCTGGGGGGCTGCAGTCACCGGGAAAGGGGGTCCTGGGGGGCTGCAGTCACCGGGAAAGGGGGTCCTGGGGGGCTGCAGTCACCGGGAAAGGGGGTCCTGGGGGGCTGCAGTCACCGGGAAAGGGGGTCCTGGGGGGCCTGCAGTCCCCGGGAACGGGGGTCCTGGGGGGCTGCAGTCACCGGGAAGGGGGTCCTGGGGGGCTGCAGTCACCGGGAAAGGGGGTCCTGGGGGGCTGCAGGTTCCATGACCCGGATGCTGCATCTCTGGTGACCCCGGAGCCCATGGGATGAGGCTGTCCCACAGGGTGGTTCTGGGTCCTGAACCTGTGGCCGGGGACTGGACTCCTCCCTGGTCTCCAGCTCAGCCAGGGATGGGATCCGGGCATCCAGGCCGGGTCGGACAGCACAAGCTGTTCTCCAAAGTTCATTACAAACCCCAGTGGCCCCCAGGGCACAGCCGTGGCAGCCCCACTCTCAGGCAGGTTCAGGCCACAAAAGGAGCAGCCGTGGTTCCGTGGCACTGGTGGGCAGCTGGCCCTAGCAGCAGTTTAGAGCCAGAGCCCGGCTGGAGGGGAACAGGCCGGCTGGGTGTGAGTCCACCCCGGGCTGCCCCAGGGTCCCTGCTCCAGCTGACCTCCTGGGACTGGGGTGGGGGCCGTGATGCCTGGGCTCGAGGGATCTGTGAGAGGCCCACTCCTGCTTCCCGCAGGTTGGGGTGTGCGGCGGCCGGAGGCTCTTCGACTGGGCAGGCCAGCCTTCTGCAGTGGCCCAGGCACAGTTATCAAGAGAGAAGTGTGTTTGCCCGGTTCTTCCTCTCCAGGGGTGCTGGCTCACCTGCGTGCATCTGCACAGGGGGAGGGGTGGCCAGCGCCCACGGAGCAGCCTCCGGGTTGCGGACGGCAGTGGGTGGCTCTGCTGGCCCCAGGGCCGGGCTCTCTGCAGATAAGGCATTAACAGTCCGTGAGGACACGCCCTGCAGATCTGCTGACGGCTCCGTTCTGCCCAGGTGCTGGGGTGAGGTGCCAAAGGTTCTCTATAAAGTGCCCGGCTCCCGACCCACGGCCACTCGCCCTCAGGCTTCTGCCCTGCCTGCTGTTCGGGGCTGTCCAACGACCACCATGGTGAGGCTCGTGCTGCCCAATCCTGGCCTGGACGCCCGGATCCCGTCCCTGGCTGAGCTGGAGACCATTGAACAGCAGGAGTCCAGCTCCCGGCCCAAGTGGGACAACAAGGCACAGTACATGCTCACCTGCGTGGGCTTCTGCGTGGGCCTTGGCAACGTGTGGCGCTTCCCCTACCTGTGCCAGAGCCACGGAGGAGGTAGGCAGCCGGGCGGGGCTGCAGGCCAGGCCCTGGGAACACACACACACGCACACACACACACACACAGAGGCCCAGGGCAGATGTCCCCCCTCCCCCTGGACCCCAGCTCCCCACGCACAGAGGGGAGAGGAGAAGCCACAGGGTGTGGGGGGAGCTAAGGCCCCCACCTGCCCTTGAGCCTGGTTCCGAGGTTGCTGTCTTGGAGCTGGCCCGGCTGGCATGGCCCAAGGGCTTTGTGTGGGGCTCCAGGAAGGGTCCTGTGCTGCACATTGGCAGTCCTGCGGTTCTCGGGGACCCTCTGGCCTGAGTGTGGGGCCAGAGGAAGGGCACTTTGCCCGGTATAGCCCCTCCTTGGAGGACTTGGGGCTGAGCCCTTCCGGGTACCACCTTTTGTCCCAGCCCCACAGGTGGGCACCTGCCAGGGCACGGGGCAGAGGAGGGAGCCAGGTTGGGGGCAGGGGACCCTCAGAGGAACAGGGTGAGTGCCTGGAGCCTGGGGACTCAGGCCTGGCTCTTGGGTGGGTGCCCTTAGGCTTGGAGGCTGGGGAGCTGCTGTGCCCATGAAATGCACAAGGCTGGGCGCTCCTTGTTCCTTCAGCTCCTGGAACCCAGGTAGGCACGGCTGCTGCTGGCACAGAGGTGACACTTGTGTCCACCCAGTGGCCCTGAGCATCTGGAGTGGCTCCAGGCCTCCGCTCCCTGGCCTGGGAGGGGCTGCTCCTAGGACCCCACACTGAGACTGGGTCAAGTGGCTGCCCTCATAAACCCGCTGCTTTGTCAATGGAAGGTCCGAGAAGGCTGGGTGCCCTCTGCCCTGGGGCGGTTCATGGGGGCCGTGAGGGTCTCAGCTCTGTTCAGAGGAGCCCCCTCTCGGTGGACCTGTTCTTTCTCACTGGGGGAGAGCTGCGTCTCTCATGCCGGCTTTGTGATGTGGAGATTTTTAAAGCAAAGCAGAGATGGGCTTTCCTGAATCAGCTTCACCTCCGGCTTGGTCAGGGACTTGAGCATTGCCTTGGGCGGGTGGGTGCTTTGCCAGCCTCTGGCCCAGCTGGCACCTTCCACTCGGGGTTTCCCACTGGGGTGCTCATCTCCCGGTGAATCTAATCTGGGCTGCAGCTCTGCCATAGGGAGGCTTCAGAGAGGCAGCTGAAAGGGCTTGGGGACACAGGGTCCCCTCCTCTGGCTCCTGGGGGCTCGTGGACGCAGGACAGAGGGGAAGGCAGTGTCCACTCAGTGCGCCGTCTCTCCACGCGTCTCAGTGAGGACTTCGGCACTTTCCTCGTTTATACGGTCAGGGAGCCGACATCGAGGGGAGGCAGGCAGGCAGCTCCACCCGGCTCCTCCTGGAGGCCTCCTACCTGTTTGCGATTGTCCTCCCAGGTGAAAGCCTCACACAGGCCTCACAGCCTCCCATGTCTGAACAGATTTTGCCCTCCTTGGAGGACCTGTGCCAGGTGGGCAGGCTCAAGGGACCCTTTCCAAACCCAGCCACCCCACTCACCTGAGACACCCCGAGGGCGCACGGTGCCTGGGCGTTCTCACCTGGGAAATGGGTCTGATGGCAGAGCCCACTCCAGGGCAGTGTGTGGGGGGTGTGGGAACAGCCGTGAGACGTGGTCAGCCAGGGCTCCCCCGACTCCCCTACGCCTCCACTGCCCCATGCCCCCCACGCCCCCCACTCCTCCCACGTCCCCCATGTCCCCCACTGCACAAGCAGCTGCCCATCAGGCCCACATGGCCCCAGCACAGCGGTCCCAGCGTCTCCTCGCTGCTCAGTGCCTGGCCTGGGGCCAGCTTTCCCCTTGGTCCACCTACGCTATTTCTTAGCAAAAACCTAGGCAGTGTCCGTTCACTGGGTGCCGCAAACACCACCTGCTGGAGAGAGAAGAGGGGAAGCTTAGCCCCTGCGTGAGAGCTGCAGCTTCCTGCTTCCCTCCTTCCTCTCCTCGTTCCCAAGTTTTTCAAGGAAAGACAGATGGAACTGCGTTTCTGTGCCCGGTGTCTCTGTCCCTCTGGGTGCTCTCCGTCTGCCCACGCCCCCACCCCACGCTCTCCGTCTGCCCCGCGCCCCCACCCCAGCTCTCCGTCTGCCCACGCCCCCACCCCACGCTCTCCGTCTGCCCACGCCCCCACCCACGCTCCGTCTGCCCCGCGCCCCCACCCCAGCTCTCCCTCTGCCCCTCGCCCCCACCCCACGCTCTCCGTCTGCCCCGCGCTCCCACCCCAGCTCTCCCTCTGCCCCGCGCCCCCACCCCAGCTCTCCCTCTGCCCCGCGCCCCCAACCCAGCTCTCCCTCTGCCCCGCGCCCCCACCCCAGCTCTCCCTCTGCCCCGCGCCCCCACCCCAGCTCTCCCTCTGCCCCGCGCCCCCACCCCAGCTCTCCCTCTGCCCCGCGCCCCCACCCCAGCTCTCCGTCTGCCCCTCGCCCCCACCCCAGCTCTCCGTCTGCCCCTCGCTCCCACCCCAGCTCTCCCTCTGCCCCGCGCCCCCACCCCAGCTCTCCCTCTGCCCCGCGCCCCCACCCCAGCTCTCCCTCTGCCCAGCGCCGCCACCCCACACTCTCCGTTACCTGCTTCCGCCTGAGTGATGCCAGTGCCTGCAGCACAGCACTGAGAGGCCTGGTTTCCAGGGACCTTTGCAACCACATCCAGGCACCAGCACTGCCCCATCGAGCAGGAGCCACCCAGTGTCCCCAGGGCACCGGCAGCACTTCTCTCCTCTCCTTCCTCTGCCCCTCATCCCCCATGAGGAAGAAGTTGTTGGGTTTCAAAGACAAATATTCATATTCCGGTGGCTTAAAGTGTCCAGAATGCTTGGATTTCCCTGAGTTTCTTGGGGCAGGACGAGCTCCTGCCTCGGGGTTGCATTTGGGGTGGAATGTGTGTGCCCACCCCCAGTCCTCTCTGATCACTGCTCCATGCTGAGCCTGAGCCCCAGGGGTCAGGGATCTGAGGGTCTCCTGCCCCGAGGAACTTGCAGAAGGGAGAGCCACCAGGAGCAAGGGCAACAGCTGAGGCTCCCAGAAGAGGGGACATCCTAGTGGGGTTTTCAAGGATGAATAGGAGTTTTCCCAACGGAGATGGAGCGATAGGAAGACCCAAGCATTTAGGGTTAGGGTGCGGTGGAGGGAAGGGAGGGGCTGGAGGACGTTTGGGATCATGCACTTGCTTCCTCCTGGTAGTTCTGTCTGGAAGAGTTTCAATTCAAGCTCCTGGAAAAAAAGAAATTGGAGGAGTGAATCTTCTTATTTTACCCAGTGAGCAGGCCCTGCTGGGGTCTTGGGTGTCCCTGCAGGTGAGCCTGCAACCCCCACCCCCTCCCTCAGGGACCTGCTTGTGGGCATCTCCTGCACCCAGCCTCGGGGACCCTCTGGTGGGCGTTTTCTGTACCCAGCCTTGGGGACCCACTGGTGGGAGTCACTTGCACCTGGCCATGGGGACCCGATGGTGGGCGTCTCTGGCACCCAGCCACCATTGCCCTCTGCCTTTCATCTCATGATGGATCCAACATCCCACCAGCCCACCCTCCATGCCTGGCTTTCCTGGAATTCCCCTCCTGCAGCCCCTCCTTCTGAAGGAACCTGTCCCTGCAGCCCCAGCTCAGAGAGAAGGGCCTGTGCACAGCCCATGGCCTGTGTGGGGATGGAGGCCTGGGACTCCAGAAGGCCCTGTTCCACCGCCCGGGCTCGCACTGTGTGGACAGAGGAGGAGAAGGAGAGAGAAGAGGCTCGCTGTTAAACTGGGAGAGGGAGGAGTCAGAAAGCCTGGCGGGGGCCAAGCAGGAAGTCAGGCTGCCAGCACCAGCTCCTCCCTCCGGCCTCCACCCCTTCCTCCCTCCTTCTCTCCCCTCCCTCCTTCTCTCCCCTCCATCACCCTGTCTCTACTTCTCTGTTCTCTCTCTGTGTGTCTCTGTCTCTTTCTCTATGTGTCTCCTCTGTGTCTCTGTCTCCCTCCCTATCTCTGTCTCTGTATGTGTGTCTCTGTCTCTCTCCCTGGTTCCCTCTCTGTCTCTGTCTCTCTGTGTCTCTGGGTCTCACACTCACCAGTGCCATCCCCTGAGGATGCTAGTTTGGGGTCTGACGAGGCCCTCCTGGCTGGGGAGACAGTGTCCGGATGGGGGAAGGGAGACAATGAGGAGGGAATGCGGGGAGCTCAGGTTTTGAGGTTTGGTGGGAGAAGGCGAAATGGAGCGTGTGTGGGGGGAATGGGGGTGAGGGTGGCCGGTCTGGGAGCAGGAGGATGATGGTCACTTGGCTTTGCCGGGAGGGGAGGCTGTAGGTAGGCGGGTCTCATGTCCCTTCTGAGAGGCCCCAGGGACATGGGGGGGTGAGGAGAGGCTGTTGCTGGGACCCCAGTGTCACAGGTGTGGCCATAGCCCTCCTTCACAGGGTCAGTCACTTTGGGACGGGAAGGTGGCCCCAGGAGAAGGGACCCAGGTCAGGATCAGGGCGGCTCACGTGTATTTGGGACACGCATACCCCCAGGCCCTCCAGCCACAGCCGTGTTCTGGATTCTCACGTGGCTTTAGCTGCTGAGCTCCGTCCCATCGGCTGCTGGCTTCACTGTGCTCACCCCGGCCACAGCATGGCCCTTCCATCCAGCCGGAGCAAGGTGTGGCAGGAGCTGCTTCCCTTCGGCAGCACCTTCCTGCCCCCAAGCAGGGACCCCTGAGGGCAGGGGAGCCCAGGTGCCCAGCCTAGGTCCACAAGGGGGCTGGGGAGCACAATCTTTGTCCCCATGGGGGCAGTCTTCGAGATGAGGTGGCATCCCCCTCTTGGGAGGGCTGGCTCTGCCACTCACCCAGCATGTGGCTCTGTGGCCCTGTCCACTCAGGAGATGCTCGTAAGGCTCCTGTGACGCCAGTTGGTCAGTTTCATGCTGGCACCTGTGCCTCCGGGGAGCAGAGCCATGGAACCTGCCTGCCCCGCATCCGCGTCCCAGTGGCCGGCTGCTCAGGCTCAGGTTGGTATGCACTGCGTGGTGTCAGGCCAGCCTCTGAAGCCACGCCCCGCAGCCTGACTCCTCTCTGCTGTTCCGTGACCCTCGTCCTTCTTCATCTTTGAGCAAAGGACCCCCGGTGTCCACACCTCCCAGGCCGTGTCCCGCCTCTCCCTCTGCCCAGCCCCTTGGGCACCATCAGGGACACCCAGGTGGCTGCAGCTCAGCCTGTGTGTGTCGCCGTGGGGCCTCGGGGCTGGGCTGGGCGGCTGTGCATCCACTGCAGAGGGAGCGGTCAGAGCAGCCCCGGGTGGCTGGCCGAGGGGAATGCATGGCCATGGCTGGGCCCTTCTCCGGCTGCCGCTGCGGCTGAGCTCCGAGAGGGACCTACAGCTTCAGCTTTGGTTTTTCTAAAGAGACAGAATTTAAAGACATGAGGAAATATGAGTGTGAGATCCTTCCAAGCATCTGCGGGTTTTCCGGACCCCCTTCTCCCGGCCCCAGGCTGACCCTGAGCCCCTGCGCCTGGCGACCACAGGAGCCACACTTTTCCCCTCAGGGTCAGTGCCTCCCCATCTCTTATCTAGTTCAAAACAAGTTTCAAACAAACAACTTTCCAGTCAGTTGAAACCCTAAAAGTGTCCCTTGGCTTAGCCCATGAGCGAATCTCCCGGCTCCCGGCTCTGGGCGCCTGGACAGTCCCACTTCCTGCTGCGGTTCTAGCCCGGACAGAATGACTGCAGTTCCACGAAGTATTTCCAAGGTGGTTTTAAACTCTTCCGAGTTAGAGAATGAGTCCCAGAATGTTGGTAGGAGGTGCCCCTGTAGGGCAAAGAGGTGAGCACAGCAGAGCTGGATGGATTCCCCACAAGACAGGACCGTGGTCACAGCACAAGCAGAAATGTCTCAACATTTTTCCTTTTTGTGATTTTTTTTGTTACAGAATACATGTAACGCAAAGCTTGCCATTTTGATCATTTTTACACGTACAGTTCAGCAGTTTTAAAGAATTCACAGGTCATGTAACTGGCACCACCCACCTTCATGACTCTGTTTTATGAACCAACTGTCCCCTGAAACTAACTCCCCACTGAGGCCGCACATGATTGCCAGGAAGCAGCCCCTCTCACGGCCACGCAGACTCACCCAGAACCTTCATTAAGCTGAGGAAGACACAGCAGGTGCAGCCGGCACGGGTGTGGCAGGGGTGGGCCCTGCGTTGGAAGCTCCTGGCTGGACAGGAGAGCAGCTCCGAAGGTGCCCGTCTGTGGGGCTCCCGCACTGCCGGGGCTGGGTGGGGAGGTCGGTTCCGCGTTAGCTCTGTGTGCAGCAGCTGTGGCAGTATGTCAGTCTCTGAGTGGGGCATGGACCACACCTCCCTCAATGGTCACAACTTCCCGAGGTCCCATGGGTGACCGCAGTCTGTGTGACAGTCAGGAACACCCAGCTGCCCAGTAGGGCTTCTAGAATGTGGAGTCAGCTCTGGCCCTGATCCCACGGACTGGATGCTCCTTCTCAGCTGTGTTCCCGGCTGCTGGGCCTGCCATAGGGGCTGCAAGGCTTGTTGTGAATGTCTGCTCCTGAGGGCAGCCTTTTAGCCCCCCATGGTCCTGTGGCCTGCTCACAGGTGTGGCAGCCTCCAAGGGCAGCCTTTCTGCCCCCTGTGGCCCCGTGGCTGGCCTGCAGGTGTGGTGGACTCTGAGGGCAGCCTTTCTGCCCCCTGTGGCCCCATGGCTGGCCCACAGGTGTGGTGGACTCTGAGGGCAGCCTTTCTGCCCCCCCATGGCCCTGTGGCCAGCCCTCAGCTGTGGCAGACTCCGAGGGCAGCCTTTCTGCCCCTCGTGGCTGCTTCCTGTGGCCAGCCCTCAGCTGTGGCGGACTCCTCCTGTTGCAGGCGCCTTCATGATCCCGTTCCTCATCCTGCTGGTCCTGGAGGGCATCCCCCTGCTGCACCTGGAGTTCGCCATTGGGCAGCGGCTTCGGCAGGGCAGCGTGGGCGTGTGGAGCTCCATCCACCCAGCCCTGAAGGGAGTAGGTGAGTGCCAGAGCCGCTGCACCTGGGCCCAGGGTTCTCCTCGCCAACCTTGGTGCCCCTGCTCCGCCTTCCCTGTCTGTTTCTGGGGTGATAAATGTCCCAGGTTTATCTCCTCCCAGAGGCCTTTGGAAACTCCGGGCCACTCCTAGTCACCAGGAACCAGACAGGACAGCAGAGGCCGCCTGAGTCCTGGCAACCCAGGGCCCAAGAGGGTCCAGATGTGGGGGACAGCACAGTGACCCCTGGAGCCCTGCCCACGGAGGCACTTGGTGAGGGTCCAGGAGGGGGGCGCCAGCCACTGCTGTCCTGGCCTCCTGTGTCCGCTCCCCTACACCTAGTGAGGAGGTCCCCAACACTGACCCCCAGCCATAGTCACTCATTTACAAGCTCTGGGCCCAGGAGCTGACCCAGTGCAGTTTTACCAAGAGGACATGGGTCACCAAGAACTCAGAATCCAGGAAGGTGGTGAAAGACGGAGGGGGAAAGGGCAGGGTCCACTCCAGAGGGGGTCTGAGTTCAGAGGCACCTGCCCTTCGGAAGCCTGCAGGCCTGGAGCAGTGCCCACACCCTCGCCCCAGCCTCCCCCTGAACCTCCAAAGCCGCCAGGCCCAGGACAGTGGCCCCTGCCTCTCCCTGAGCCTCCAAGGCCTCCCTCCTCTCCCTCTCTTCCTCTGTCTCTCTCTTGCCCTCTCTCTCTCTCTCTCTTCCCCATCTCACACTCATGTATTCACAACAAATATTTGGCTTTTAGTTTGAAACTTCAATGAAGCGTGTAGTACACAGCACGCTTTCCATCCCATCTAGCTGTCCCTGAATGATTGAGAACACACCCCTCTGCCATTTCTGCCCTCCCTCCCCTCTCATGAGTCCTCCACAGGGAAGGCTTTCCTGAGGCCCACCCACCATCCTGGGCCACAGGGGCTTCCCGGTTGGGGGCAGTGCCAGGTGGGCAGCCCTTCCAGCCTGTAGGCAGCATCCAGGCTACTGGCACAGCAGAAGTTCCCTGCTGAGGCCGTGGCGTGGATGCACCTGCTGGATGCTGCACTGGGCAGGTGAGACCCATGCCTGGGGCAAGCTAGGCAGGCATGTGCAGGACAGGCGTGAGGCAGGCAGGCGTGTGCAGGGGAGGTATGAGATGGGCAGATGTGTTCAGGGCACGCATGAGGCAGGCAGGTGTGTGCAGAGGAGGTATGAGATGGGTAGATGTGTGCAGGGCAGGCGTGAGCAGGGGAGGCATGTGCAGGGGAGGCGTGTGCAGGAAGGTGTGTGGGGGGAGGCGTGTGCAGGGGAGGTGTGTGCAGGGGAGGCATGTGCAGGGGAGGCATGTGCAGGGCAGGTGTGTGATGGGCAGGCATGTGCAGGAAGGTGTGTGTGGGGGAGGCGTGTGCAGGGGAGGTATGAGATGGGCAGATGTGTGCAGGGCAGGTGTGTGCAGGGGAGGTATGAGATGGGCAGATGTGTGCAGGGGAGGCATTTACAAGGAAGGCGAGTGTGCAGGGCAGGCGTGAGCAGGGGAGGTGTGTGCGGGGGAGGCATGTGATGGGCAGGCATGTGCAGGAAGGTGTGTGCGGGGGAGGCGTGTGATGGGCAAGCGTGAGCAGGGGAGGCGTGTGCATGGCCGGTGTGTGCAGGGGAGGCATGTACGGGGGAGGTGTGTGCGGGGGAGGTGTGTGATGGGCAGGTGTGAGCGGGGTACGTGTGTGATGGGCAGGCATGTGCAGGGGAGGAGTGTGCAGGACAGGCATGAGCAGGGGAGGCGTGTGCAGGGATTTGTGTGTGGGGGAGGTGTGTGCGGGGCAGGCGTGTGAGGGGGAGGCGTGTGTGGGGCAGGCGTGTGCAGGGGAGGAGTGTGCAGGACAGGCATGAGCAGGGGAGGCGTGGGGGGGAGACGTGTGATGGGCAGGTGTGTGATGGGCAGGCATGTGCAAGGGAGGTGTGTGCAGGGCAGGTGTGTGATGGGCAGGTGTGTGCAGGGGAGGTGTGTGCAGGGCAGGTGTGTGATGGGCAGGTGTGTGCAGGGGAGGAGTGTGAAGGGGAGGAGTGTGCAGGGCAGGTGTGAGCGGGGAGGCGTTTGTGGGGGAGGCGTGTGCAGGGGAGGAGTGTAGGGGAGGCGTGAGCAGGGGAGGTGAGTGCAGGGCAGGCATGTGCAGAGGAGATGTGTGCAGGGCAGGTGTGTGCAGGGAAGGCATGTGATGGGCAGGAATGTGCAGGGGAGGAATGTAGGGCAGGCGTGTGCAGGGGAGGTGAGTGCAGGGGAGGCATGCGATGGGCAGGCCTGTGCAGGGAAGGCGAGTGTGCATGGCAGGTGTGTGTAGGGGAGACCTGTGCAGGGCAGGCACGAGCAGGGGAGGTATGTGCAGGACAGGCGCATGCAGGCTGCACCACTTCATCAGCTACATCATCCTGGCCCACACTGGATCTGCCCTCAGATTCTGGAGCAGCCCCTCCTGGCCACACCCTGTACCAGGCCTGGGACCGCCTGTGGGGAGTGGGGATGGGTGGCTGGGGAGGGCGTGCCTCGGCCCCAAGCCTCAGCAGCAGCCTCCCCACAGGCGTGGCCTCCATGCTCGTGTCCTTCGTCGTGGGACTGTACTATAACACCATCATCGCCTGGGTCATGTGGTACTTCTTCAACTCCTTCCAGGAGCCTCTGCCCTGGAGCCAGTGCCCACTCAACGAGAACAAGACAGGTGCGTCCTCGCAGCAGTCCCAGCCACATCCGTCTCACCTGTGGGGCTGCCACCCCTCTCACGCAGGCACATGGAGTCATGAAACTCAGCTCAGGTGTGGCAGAAACCAAAGCCCCAAGGCAACAGGGTGTCAAAAAATTGCAGCTCCAGACAAGAGGCCTTAAAAGTGTAGGCCTCTTGTGTAGGAGGTGTGGCAGAGGACGAGGCCCTGGGGAGGAAAGTGTGAGAGCCTGGGGGGAGCTGTCCACAGTCTCAGGGCCCCCAGTCACCTGCCTGGAGCTGGGAGTTGCTGGGAGGTTGCTCCCTATCCTCCTGGGAGGGACATGGTGTCAGACGGCCCTCCCGCCCCCACATCCCTGCGTTGTTCTGCACAGATGGGTCTGTCCTGCCCACGTGGGCCCCACATTGCCCTCCCACCTCGGCCCTTGCAGAACCCTCTCTCCCAGGAAGGGAGCATCGGGAGCAGACCCTCTATGTGTGACATGAACTTGTCTCACCATGGTCCACATGGTGGCCCTGGGACCTGAGCGCTTGGTCACCAGCAGCTTCTGGGCCAAGCAGCACAGTGGGGCTTCACTGCACGCTGCTGCTGAGTCAAGGCTGGCAAGATGGTCCCTGGGGCCAGAATAAGACAGATCCCCCCACAATACGTGAACCCTCACTGCACTCTGGGACTGCGGGGCTCTTTCCTGCCTCTGGGGGTGTGGGTTCTCTGGAATTAGACCACTTCCCCCTTAGAAGGGTCTCACTGCAGTTCCTCGAGTCCAGACAGGCCCATCGTGGTGAGTATCGAGTGGGTGGTTGCAGGCAGGGGCCTTGCCCAGGAGCACACACGCTCTGAGGCCCCCATGTCCCTGCTGGAGCTTGCACAGGGAGGAGGGAGCAGCGTGAGGCCCAGGGTGCACCTGACTGTTGGGACTGGAGCCTTCTAACCAGTGCACATGTGTAGGCATGTGTGGGGTGTGCAGGTGTGCATGTGTGTGCTGTGTGCATGAAAGCATGTATGTGACATGTACGTGAGGACCTGTGAGGGTGCAGTTGTGCATGTGTGTGAGTGCATGTGCATGCACGTGAGCATGTGTGCCTGTATGCATGTGTGTGCTGTGTGCGTGAGTGCATGTGCGTGCACGTGAGCACATCTGTGCACTTGTATGTGGTGAGTGCATGTGTGTGAATGTAAGCATATGTGCATGTGTGCACGTGTGTGAGTGCATGTGTGTCCACATGAGTGTGTGCCTGTGTACATGTGTGTGCATGCGAGTGCATGTACATGCACGTGAGCCTGTGTACATGCATGTATGTGAGTGCATGTGCATGCAAGTGAGCATGTCTGTGTACATGTGTGCATGTGTGTGAGTGCATGTGCATGTACATGAGTGTGTGAGCCTGTTTACATGTATACGTGTGAGTGCGTGCATTTGCACATAAGCGTGTGTGCCAGTGTACATGTGTGTGTGCATGTGCATGCATGTGAGCATGTCTGTGTATGTGTGTACATGTGTGTGAGTGCATGTGCATGTACATGAGTGTGTGAGCCTGTGTATGTGTGTACGTGTGTGAGTGCATGTGTGCCCATAAGCGTGTGCCCATGTACATGTGTGTGCATGTGCATGCACATGAGCGTGTCTGTGTGCATGTGTGAGTGCATGTATGTGAGCGTGTGAGCCTGTGTACATGTGTTGCTGTGTGAGTGCATGTGTGTGCACATAAGCGTGTGTACCTGTGTGCATGTGCAGGTGGGGGCATGTCACTGATGTCAAGGCCTCTGGAGCCTGGCTGGCCTGTCTTCCAGCTCAGGGCCTGTGGTGTTCATTCTCCCCACTTGGGGGATCCACACCCTGAGCTGTATGAATGGCCCTCTCCCCAGGGTACGTGGATGAGTGTGCCAGGAGCTCCCCTGTGGACTACTTCTGGTACCGAGAGACGCTCAACATCTCCATGTCCATCAGCGACTCGGGCTCCATCCAGTGGTGGATGCTGCTGTGCCTGGTCTGCGCATGGAGCGTTCTGTACATGTGCACCATCCGAGGCATCGAGACCACCGGGAAGGTATTGCGTGGTCCCGGCCAGGCTGCAAGTGCTCTGGGGGGCGGGTGCAGGCAGCCCTGCCTCTGCTGGCCTCCCTGCAGAACCCAGCTCTGGGGGGGTCTCAGGCTCTGTCTTTCCCCAGACCCCACCAACAGCGCTGCCTCTGCCCTGAGGCTCAGCAGCCTGGGTGGGAGGGACCCAGCCTGCCCTGGGTTTCCTGAAATGCCCAGACTTGGGGCCCCAGGAACTTGGTGCTGGCCCGCTTGACACTCAGCGTTATGCAGGAGTAATGAAACTGCTGGAAAGAGTTAGGCAATGATGATGGTGGTGATAAAACAGGAAGGCTGAAATGGAAGAGTAAGGCTCCATCTTCCCTACATGGGAATCTTTGCTGGGATGTCCAGAGTGGCCAGGCCTGTCTCCCGGGGGCCAGCAGCCTTGAGGCCCAGCCCCCTTCCCCACCCGTCCCACCTGCCCCACCGTCGCACCTGCCCCCTTCCCCACCCGTCCCACCTGCCCCCTTCCCCACCCGTCCCACCTGCCCCACCGTCTCACCTGCCCCCTTCCCCACCCGTCCCACCTGCCCCACCGTCCCACCTGCCCCCTTCCCCACCCGTCCCACCTGCCCCCTTCCCCACCCGTCCCACCTGCCCCACCGTCCCACCTGCCCCCTTCCCCACCCGTCCCACCAGCCCCCTTCCCCACCCGTTCCACCTGCCCCCTTCCCCACCCATCCCACCTGCCCCACCGTCCCACCTGCCCCCTTCCCCACCCATCCTACCTGCCCCACCGTCTCACCTGCCCCCTTCCCCACCCGTCCCACCTGCCCCACCATCCCACCTGCCCCCTTCCCCACCGTCCCACCTGCAGGCTGTGTACGTCACCTCCACGCTGCCCTATGTCGTTCTGACCATCTTCCTCATCCGAGGCCTGACGCTGAAGGGCGCCACCAATGGCATTGTCTTCCTCTTCACACCCAACGTGAGTCCCTGGGGCTGCCCTGCGCTGAGACCCCAGGAGAGGCCTGCCGCCCTGCGCCCCTGCCAGCCTCAATACCAGCTCTCACCCACGGGGACAGCCAGTCCCGGGCCTGAGAAGGTCACTGGGCCCCACGTCCCTGGGTCCCGGGTCAGCTCCTGGCAGCACACCTTTGCCCTATGAGCCGACAGAGCCCCTGTGGGGAAGGAACTGGCTGCTGCTCCCAGGGGCCATGGCCTAGCCTGACCACCCCGACAGCCTTGGCCCTCCCCGGCCTCCCCGGGACCACACCTCCCAGGTCCCCGTGACCCCGTCCAACCTGCCAGTGGCTGAGTGTCTCTGTGTGGCGCAGGTCACGGAGCTGGCCAACCCGGTCACCTGGCTGGACGCGGGCGCACAGGTCTTCTACTCTTTCTCGTTGGCCTTTGGGGGCCTCATCTCCTTCTCCAGCTACAACTCTGTGCAGTGAGTGCGGGCATGGCGGGCCTCAGTTTCCCTCTCAGTCCAGGGGAGAACTTGCTGGGAGGATAAAAGACAAGGTGGAAAGCACTCTGTGGCTGTGTGGCTGGGGCCTCTGTGCCCCAATGGGCCCTTGCGAGCTGAGTCTAGAGTGCAGTGCATGGAGGAGGGTCAGGCCTCCCTGCGAGGAGAGCCAGGAGCTGGCCCCTGCGGCTTCCCCCACACCTATCCCTCTGAGTGCCTGGTACGGGCCCCTCCTGTGCTCTCCCCAGACCCCTGCTCCACGCCTACATCGCTCCCAGCCCACCCTTCGGCATCCCAGGTCCCCAGACGTGTGGCACCCCTGACACCCTCCACATCCCCCACCAAGGCCAGGTCCTTCCACTGCACCCTCCCCTGTACCTACTGCACTTCCCAGTGCCCCCAGGAAGGGTTGGTACCCTGGAGTCCCCAGCAGCCTCTCGGAGGAGCACAACTGGTGTCCGTTCATTTCCACTCACATTTATGAAGCACCTACTGTGTGCCTGACCTGGTGCATCAGGACCCGTCCTCAGTGACCTGAACCCCTGCAGGTCGACAAGCAAGCCCAGAAATCGTCCTGTGCGTGGTGACCAGAATCTCAGAGCAGAAGGGGTGGGGGGTGAAGGCGGACTCCTAGGGGTCAGGGTGCCCCTCTAGGCTGGGAAGGTGTGATTGGAGTCAGACAGAGGACCCTCAGCGCAAGAGGGCGGGGCCTGGGTGTGGAGGGCGGGGCCTGGGTATGGAGGGCGGGGCCGGGGCATGACTGGGGCTTGGCAGATGTAGCGCCCAGGCAGGAAGGCTGGGAAGCAGAGGGAGGTGCACTTGGAGGCGTGTGCAAGATGGGGGTTGGGGCAGAGAGGGTGTTGGAGGGACAGGAAGGACTCTGGAGTCACTGCGCCAGCACTGGGTGGAGCAGTGAAGCCCACCCAGGCCTCAGGAGCTTCCCCAGGTGCCGAGGGCAGGTGCTGGAGAGCCGTGGGCACTGCAGGCAGCTGGAGCAGGGTGTCTTGGGCTTGAGGGCTGACTTTGTGGAGTGGCTGAGGCGGAACTGAGGGCGAATTGTTTTATAACAGCTTTATCCAGATCTGTCGCATACCACACAGTCCTCCCGTTTGGAGTGCACAGTCCAGGGCTTAAGCACATTCACAGAGCTGTGAAGCCAGCCATCGCCGCTGTCCAGTTCTAGAACATTCCAATCACTGCAAAAGCCCCGCATATGTGAGCAGCCGCTCCCCAGTGCCCTGCCCTCCTGCCCAGGGGAGCACTGAGGCGCTCTCTGCCTCTGTGGCTCTGCCTGGTCAGGACATTTCCTGTGAGTGCGGTGGTCACCACAGCCCTATTCCGATCCCTGCCTGGGGCACAATATCCTCAAGGCTCCGCCCATCACAGCTGGCATCAGGGAGCCATTCCTGTTTAGGACTGGGCAATACTTAATGATATTCGCAGACCGTGGTGTCTGCATCATCTGTCCGTGGACCTTGTCCGCGTTTTGGCTATTGTGAATCGTGCTGCTGTGAGCCCGAGGGTGTGAGTTTCTGTGGACGCGTGCTTTTGTTCTCCTGCGTGCGCACCTCTGAGTGAGCTGCTGTGTCGAGTGGGACTCTGTGGGCAGTTCTTCCAGGAGCTGTCAGGATGCTTTCCCGGTGGCTGCAGCACTCATGCTCCCACCCGTGTGTAGGAAGCTCCAGTTTCCCCACCAACACTTGTTATTGTCTGACTTTTGTTTCTGGCCCACCCAGCAGGTGTGCAGTGAGGTCTCACTGCAGTTTGATTGGCATTTCCCTGAGGCTAACATATTCGGCCCTTGATGGAAACATCTGGAAGGATGTTGTCAGCATCTGCTGAGACTGGAAGGGTGGAGCCAGCTGGCTGGGTTATGTCAGGGAGGTTGGGGCTTCAGTGCAGGACATGCTGAGTGCAGGGTGCATTTAGGAAATGGTGAGGCCTCAGCTGTGGAGCAGCCAGACAGGACACCTAGGGTGGGGGCTGGGGGAGAATGGGTGTGAGGTCTTTGGCCTGGAGCTGTCCCTAGAGAACTGACAAAGGTTACCACAGGCATGAGGGGAGGAAAGAGACCTGAGCTCTATAACCAGAGTGATCTGGGGAATCAGGAGCCGTCAGAGCCCCGGGCAGCGCCTAAGCTGAGGTGGGGTCAGCAGGGGACCAGGCACTGCCCTGGTGCCACCTCTGCAGCCTCTGAGCCGGGGACCAGGCACTGCCCTGGGGCCACCTCTGCAGCCTCTGAGCCGGGGACCAGGCACTGCCCTGGGGCCACCTCTGCAGCCTCTGAGCCGGGGACCAGGCACTGCCCTGGGGCCACCTCTGCAGCCTCTGAGCCTGCTCCAAGTGGGGCTCGGGCTCCGGCTGCCTCCCTGCCTTGCTCAGTGGCTCAGCCTCTCTCTCCTGGGTGCATGCTCTGGACGAGACTCGGGTTTTGCCCCAAGCCGTGTCCTGACCTGGGGCCCCATCGCCAGCTGCCATGACGCTGCTCTCGTCCACAGCAACAACTGCCAGATGGACTCGGTGATCGTGTCCATCATCAACGGCCTCACATCGGTGTACGCGGCCACGGTGGTCTACTCCATCATCGGCTTCCGCGCCACGCAGCGCTATGACGACTGCTTCGACACGTGAGTCGCCATCCCCGCCTCCGTCCGCCGTCCTGGCCCCTAGGCTGCGCCTCCAGGAAGCCTCCCAGCCTCCCTGGCCCCGGCTGGCCGTCAGCCTGGATCTCGCCTGCAGGAATATCCTGACCCTCATGAACTGGTTCGACCTGGCGGAAGGCAGCGTGACCCAGGAGAACTTTGCAGAGATGCAGCGGTTGTGCAATGACACCAACCCCACGGCCTACGCGCAGCTGGCGTTCCAGACCTGCGACATCAACTCCTTCCTCTCGGAGGTAGGTCTGCTCCCGAGGTCGAGGCAGGGAGAGGGCAGCCCTTGCCGGCACCCGAGAGTCTGGCCGCCCAGGGCGTGGATGCTGAGCTTCAGCCGGGAGACCCAACTCCTGCTGTCTGCCTGCCTGGCGTCCGGGGCGCTTCAGTCCCAGCTGCCAGAGTCTGCCGGGCCATGAGATTTCACTTCCGAGGCTCCTGTTACACTCAGAGGCAGGAGCCGGGAACAGCAGGGGCTGCCTCCATTCTCTCTCATCAGGCACACAGAACACCCCGGGGGGCCACCTGGGATAGGATGACTTCTGTAAACATTGGAAGGGTTGTCGTGGCCGTCTTTGAACTTGTGAGGCCACCAGGGCAGCTTTTGTTTCGGACCGGCTGGCCTGTCTCCTGCTGCTGAGGCTCCTGCTGCCTGGGCTGCGTGGGCTTCTGAGTACCGTTCCCACAGTTAGTGAAGTTTAGAGGTTCACAGGGTCAAAGACGACAGTTGCTGACTTTAGTCATGAGTTTTCTTTCGGGGACCGCCCCCCCTGTATTTTGCGGGCATTAGGCGCTTCAGGACCCAGCGCTGCTTCTCCTGTGGCCGCTGGGAGAAGAGCTGGATAGAGGGAGCCATTTCTAAGCCAGCTGGAGCCAGGCAGAGGCCTCCCCTGTTCCACCAACCGCAGGAGGCCTCTGAGTGCAGGAAGCGCAGGCAGGAGGGAGCCAGCAGGGCTGTCCAGTCTAAATTTCTTTTTCACAAGCAACTTTCGCATGGCGTAATTGTGCACCATGAAACTCACCCATTTCAGTGCATTGTGCAGCTACCCTGTCCGACGCCAGCAAGGTGTCCATTTGCTGTTGCTCCCCACCCTGGCGGCCCAGGCGCCCTTCCACGGTTCTGCCTCAACCCACCTGTCATTATTAGAAACGCACCAGAAATAAACCCATGGCTGGCAGGCCTGCTCTCGGCAGTGGGTGCGGAGGGGCACCAGCATTGCTGCAGGTCAGAGCCTCCAGCCTGGGGCCTCCTCCCGCCTCTCACCTCCTCCCACCTCTCGCCTCCTCCTGCCTCTCACCTCCTCCCACCTCTCGCCTCCTCCTGCCTCTCACCTCCTCCCACCTCTCGCTTCCTCCCGCCTCTCGCCTCCTCCCGCCTCTCACCTCCTCCCGCCTCTCGCCTCCTCCCCCTCCTGATGCCTCCCTGCACGTCATCCCACCTTCACCTCCTCAAGCCCCTCAGGTCCTCCTGCCTCCCACCCTGCGCTGAAGAGCAGGTGCCTTGTATGCTGCTGCCTGCTTCTGACAATTTCCTACTAAACTCTTCAGAGCCCTCCACGGCCATGTCCTGCTGTGTAAGGGGTTCCACTCTTGTCCCTGGAAATCACATAGATGTTTTAAGCGGCTGTAGGGGACCCTGTCTTTGGATGAGTCCTTGAGACCTCCCACATCCAATCCCTGCAGGGAGCCCCACTGAGCTGGGCAGGTCCCTGGGCCTCATGGGCGGAGGTTTTTCTCTGGAGATTCCACAGCCAGGACCACTGATCACCAGGACCGTGATGGGCTCGTACCTGGTTCTCAGTGGTGGTCTGTGGCCAGACACGGGCAGAGGGTCAGCCCTGGGGCCTCCAGATGGCAGTGCCTTGGTGGTTCTCACCTGAAAGCCTGCCTGTGGGCATAACCTACTCTAACCCGGCCATCAGCCACCTGACTTCCGAGCATGTCCCCAGCATGTTTATTAATAGGCAATTTGTGAAATGCCTCATTTCCAGGGCTCAGCCGCACTGGGTCACAGCTTTGCGGGCTGTGAGGTCTCAGAAGCTCCCCGTGTCGAGAGCCTGTCCATGGGTGGAACGGGGCTCTGAGTGCTGCTTGCTGAAGGGATCCTCTTACTGGTCCTGATGCATAGTTCAGCTTTTAAAAACACACTTTGAGCCTAAAAGACGAGATCCAGAAATTTCTCGACAGCTCAGACCTGCCTGCCCCGTGCATGACTTGGGGGGTAGAGTGACGTGCACAGAACCTCAGGCTAGGAGGAGAGTGAGCCCGCCGTGGGCAGAGGCCCTGGTGACTGTGTTCCATCCGTGCAGGGTGTGGAGGGCACAGGCCTGGCCTTCATCGTCTTCACTGAGGCCATCACCAAGATGCCAGTGTCCCCGCTGTGGTCCGTGCTCTTCTTCATCATGCTCTTCTGCCTCGGGCTGTCATCCATGTTTGGGAACATGGAGGGTGTGGTTGTGCCCCTGCAGGACCTCAAGGTCATCCCCCCGAAGTGGCCCAAGGAGCTGCTCACAGGTGCGTGTCAGTCGGGTGGGTCCCTGTGGCAACGGTGCCTCTGTGAGGTGGCAGTCTCTGGGCGTGTGGGCAGCTCTGTCCCCCCGGGCCTGTGAGCAGCTCTGTCCGCCCTGCCTACAGGCTTCATCTGCCTGGGGACATTCCTCATTGGCATCATCTTCACGCTGAACTCCGGCCAGTACTGGCTCTCCCTGCTGGACGGTTACGCTGGCTCCATCCCCCTGCTCATCATCGCCTTCTGCGAGATGTTCTCTGTGGTCTATGTGTACGGCGTGGACAGGTAAGGGCCACGGTGGGGACAGACGCTTCTAAAGCAGAAAAGCCGGGTCACAGGGCATTCCCATGAGGGAGGAGCCAGCTGTGTTCCGGGTCCAGAGGGAGAGGCTATGACTCGGGGCCTTGGCCGGCTGTGGAGGCTGGTGTAGACCTGCCCTGGCAGGAGCAGAGGGCATCAGCAGGGCCCCAGTGTGCCAGTAGTGGGAGCTTGGTGCTTCTGGGAGCCAGAAGCCTGGTGGAGCCCAGGCCATGGCCGTGCCCACCCAGGAAGTCAGAGCTGAGTGTTCGAAGCCACTGCAGGGCCCGTGGCTGGGATGTCCCGGGTCGGGGGGTGGGAGGGGGAGTGGGGGTGCTTTATTTCCCTGGTGCTCCAGGCCTTTCTGGCAGGCAGAGAGGTTCTAGCAGTGCAATAGAGGCTCAGACAAGGGAAGGCAGGGACCCAGACACCGTCAGCCATCCACTCAGCCAAACATCCCGGGCACTGGCTACCACTGCCAGGCAGGACCTGGAGGACAGGGGCTCTTGATGGCAGCTACAAAAACTTTAGGAATAATCCGGCAAGGCCAGGCATGGTGGCTCACGCCAGTAATCCCAGTATTTTGGGAGGCCAAGGTGGGCGGATCACTTGAGGTGGGGAGTTCAAGACCAGCCTGACCAACATGGTGAAACCCCATCTCTACTAATACAAAAATTAGCCAGGCATGGTGGCACATGCCTGCAACCCCAGCTACTCAGGAGGCTGTGGCAGGAGAACCGCTTGAACTCAGGAGTTGGAGGTTGCAGTGAGCTGAGACTGTGCCACTTCACTCCAGCCTGGGCGACAGAGTGAGGCTCCATCTCAAAAAAAAAAAGAAAAGAAATAATTGGACAGACTCAGTTAACACTGAGCAGGAAGCCTGTCCTATGTCCCCAGCAGTGGGATTTGTAGGACACAGGGGTAGGAAGCTCTTCAGCACTGGGTGAGTGAGAACAGAACTCACACCAGCCCAGGTCAGCCATGGGGAAGGCTGAGGGACACGGGCCCACCAGCCATGTCATTCTAACCACAGGCAGATATTGGCAAAGAACGTTCAGGCCCCGATGTGGGGATTAGCTGCAGAGTGTGAAGTGCATGCATAAGAACGTTCAGGCCCCGATGTGGGGATTAGCTGCAGAGTGTGAAGTGCATGCATAACTGTCTAAATGTTGAGCACGTGGGACCAGCTCCTTCTCACATGCTTCTGGGGGCACCGGGAGTGCCCCTCTGGCCACTGCAGGCCTGGGACGGGCTTGGGTACACCTCCTGCTTGCTCCATCTTGATTTCTTCAGAGGATAAATTTCTTTCACAGAAGAGGGTTGAGCAGAGGATGAGGATTGAGGGTGGGGAAGGTGTGGGGTTGTCTGACTTCAGGGTGCTGCTACGGAGAAGCTGGGGGTGCTCACAGTGCTCCCTCCTCCATTCCCCCATTCTGCACTGGTGACTGCCCCAGACATGGGTGAGGGCGAAGCACCTCTGACCATGGGCTTGCCATCCAGCACTTGCTGGTGGCGTCATAGGGCAGAGAGAGCTGCTGGCCATGCCCACAGCTTGAGGAAGTGCCCAGGGCCAGGATGGAGGGCTGGGGCCCTGGCATGGGGAAGCCGGGCACCTCGCAGCATGACACCACCTGTCGGGGCAGCAGAATGCACAGAAAGCTTGACAAGCTGACGTCCTGCTGGTGGCACCAAGAGCACGCTGTCCACAGCCGCCGCTGGCCTTGTTTGGCAGGTTCAATACGGACATCGAGTTCATGATCGGCCACAAGCCCAACATCTTCTGGCAAGTCACGTGGCGCGTGGTCAGCCCCCTGCTCATGCTGGTCATCTTCCTCTTCTTCTTTGTGGTCAAGGTCAAAGAGGAGCTGACCTACAGCATCTGGGACCCTGGCTACGTATGTGCCCAGGCCGTCTCCTGGGGTGGGGAGAGCAACAGGAAAGGGGAAAGGAAGGCACACATCCACGCATGTGGCATGTGCACACGCAATACACACACCCACTTACATGGGCATGCACTCACGCTCACGCTCAGGGGCATCCCGGCCACCACCCCACGCATCTTGCTGGTTACCGCCTCCATGACACCACGTGCAGCATGCCGTGGGCTGGGCCTGCTCATGCCATCCCAGGAGGGAGGTGGGTGGGCGGGGAGGTGGGAGGAGGGAGAAAGGGGAGGCTAGAGGAGCCCCTGGCCATGCCACCAACCTGACAGGACAGGAGGTTAGTCATGGGGTGAGGGGCCTTTGCTCCAAAGTGAACCCCCTGGTTCCCGAGGTGCCTACTCACCCACAGGGCTCTCTCCCCAGGAGGAATTTCCCAAATCCCAGAAGATCTCCTACCCGAACTGGGTGTATGCGGTGGTGGTGATCGTGGCCGGGGTGCCCTGCCTCACCATCCCCGGCTATGCCGTCTACAAGCTCATCAGACACTGCTGCCAGAAGTCAGGGGACCGCCAGGGGCTGGTGAGCACGCTGTCCACAGCCTCCGTGAATGGGGACCTGAAGTACTAAGCAGGCCTAGCCCACGGCGTGCCGCCCACTGGTGGTGTCAGGGAAGGAGGAACCCACAAGACCCGTGGGGTGGGGGCCAGGCTGCACCTGCATGTGTGTGAGCATGAGTGTGCTCGTGCGTGAGGGTGTATATTGTAGATGCATGTGCCATGTGGACAGATGTGTGTCGTGTGTGTGCATGTACATCTATGGGCATTGTGTGAGTATGCATGTGCACATGTGTTGCCCACATGTGTGTGCACGTGTATATACACGTACATGTACATATATGTATCTGCACATGCATGTTGCGTGTGATGTGCATGTGTGTACACACCTCTTTATACATGCATGCACATGTGCTCATATAATGGGCATGCACATGCATGTATGTATACATGTGAATGCATATACTTGAATGCAACTGTGTTGTACGTGGGTGTACATGCATGTGTACACACACACGTGTTTATGTGCATGTATGCATGTGTGAGGTGTGTGTGTGAGCATGTGTACATGTGCATGTGTGTCTGTGTATGTGTGTGTGCTGTGTGTGCTTCTCTATACATTTGTGTATATGTGTGTGGTGTGTGCTCATGTGTACATATGCAGGCATGTGTGAGGTGTGTATATGTGAGAACATGTGTACATATGTGTGTGTCTGTGTATGCATGTGTGCTGTCTATACATTTTGGCATATATGTGTGTGGTGTGTGCTCGTGCGTGTGCATATGCAGGCATGTGTGCATGTGTGAGGTGTGTATATGTGAGCATGTGTACGTGTGTGTGCTGTGTGCTTGTCTATACATGTTTACGTATATGTGTGTGATATGTGCTTGTGTGTGTGCATATGCAGGCATGTGTCCGTGCCTGTGTACACGTATGTGCACATATGGATGCACGTCGATAGGACACATACCTGCCATTCAGGGCCCAGCTGCCCTCTGTGCTCATCCTGGCCACAGACACAGGGTCACGTGAGAGGCCGGGGGAGCAGACCACCAGGGATGAGCTGTGCCCTGCACACACCCGGGGCAGCAGTAGCCGAGCCCACGGCGGGGAAACACCTCTGCTTCATCTCCGTGGCTGTCAGGAGACAAAAGCACAAGTTGCCATCTTGGCTCCTGGGAGTGACTCTTGCTGCCCACCCCTACCTTCCCCTTCCACTTGCTGTTGACCCTTAACCCCAGGGCTACTGGGGTCCTGTAGCCCTTGACTGGGAGCAGCCTCTCAGAAGCCGGGGCAGTGGTGGCTGGAGATTTTGAGAAAACTTGGCCGCATCCTCTGGGACCTGGGCTCCAGTTGGCCCCTGCCGAGTCCCCGTGTCCTGGCCATTTTCCGGCTGAATGAGTGCCAGCCATTTAAACATTGCTCCTGCCACCTCAAATAGATGAGCAGTTAAATAAAACTCAACTTGGCATAATTCAAGGCAAATACCACTCTGCATTTTCTCAAGAGGACGTGAGCTGTGTGAATTTTTAGCCAGCCTTCGGAGAGAAGACGGGTTACAGGGTAACTCGACCCTGGCTGCCATCCTGGGGTGCTCTGTGTGTCCAGGGCATCTTCAGGGACCACACAGCCCCCAGAAGCCTCCAGCCCGTGCGCCATGCAGTGAAGCCCAGCCTGGCACCCGCCCTGACCCCATCACAAGATGGGTCTCCATTGGGGTTCAATGTCTCATGTTGGCCAACAGCAGTCAACACTCGGGGCACCTACTTCAATGGATGGGTACTTCTGCTTTCCGTGGAAGAATCTGGATGTTTACATTAAACTGATCTTCTGAGAATTCCTATGGACTGGTGTGCCCTGGTGCGATGTTCCACCCACAGAGACCTGGTCACACTCGCCCCTTCCATCACCCACCCCATCCAGTGGCCACTGCACACACCGAGTCCTCCTGCCAGCCTTCTGCGCCAGCTGCCTGCCACATGGGGCCCTGGGATCTGAAGACTCCACAGCAGCAGGGGAACATGGTGAGCTCTGCGCCCCGCAGCTGTGATGCCACTGAGGATCTGCCTGCTGATGGCTTCAACAGGGTCTCACCTCATCTCTTTCTGCTCTTGGGCCCTCAATCCAGACAATTCTGATCAGTGCCCCATGAACCTGCTGCCCTGTGGCGCCTGCCCAGGAGGCCCTGCCAGGCATGCACAGGCATGCATCAGTGTGCCAGGCATGTGCGGGCGTGCCCTGGCCTGCCTGCCGTAGGACCCTATGGGCGGGAGCACCCACCCCATCTATGTCTCCCGATTCATGCATCATTTTGTAGGTTTCAGTGTCTCTGTAAATGTGGTAGAAACGCAGGTTTTGTGGGCATACGGTGTACGTTTCTAAATAAATCGCTTATGTTTAATAGTCTCTGCCTACAAGTGACTATTGTTCAGATGTAGAGGGATGAGTGAGCCAGTGACCCCAGAGAGGACAATGGGAATGGTGGGTCCAGCTCCTGCCTTCTCCTGGGGGTCTGGCTTTGGGGCGCTAGCTCTGAAGAGGCTGTGGCCCAGGCCCGTGGCCTGGTGACAGGGACTGGAAGCTCTTCTCATCTTCTTTCCTTAAACTTTGTCTCACTCAAATAAGAACCTTTCAAAAATGTGTCCACCTGAGCCCTCGCCTGGGACTCAAATATCTGGAGTTGTGGCACATGGTTGAGGGCGAAACAACCCGAGGAACAGGGCAATTGCCGGCCTGGGGGCTGTTGGCCTGTCCCTGGTGGAAGTATCTGCAGGGAGGGGCCCTGGAGTCCAGGAGCACCGTGGGGGGCTCCTTAGAGCTGAACTCACCCAGCATCAGCTTATCAATCTTCCACCCACGAGTGGGGTGCCCCAGCCTAGGGAGGACTCACCTCTCAGCCCCCCATGCACCGTGGGTGCCTGTCACACCATCCTGCCCAAGAGTGGCAGTGGGTGTGAGGGCAGCCCCTGGTCTCCCAAGAGCAGCTGAAAGCACCCCTGTGGGAATCTGGGCTTTGCGTGGGTGCAGTGTGATCTGAGCTGTTTCTGACAGTGACAGAGTGAGAATCTGCAAGCACCTCAGGATCAAAAGGTCAAATAAAACATAAGAAAAATTTAAAACAAGCAAACTGTGCCCATCTCGGAAGCCCTGGTGTCCGCAACAGAAAACAAGACTGTCTTTGCAAGTGGCCCCCTTGGTGCTGCGGGCAGTGCCAGGCTTGGCGTTTGCCTGGAGCACAGGGCATGAGGGAAGGAGCAGAGGACGAGGGACCCTGGCGTCAGAGCCAGGGCTGGGACCGAGTTACCCATTAACGGCTCTCTGCTGGTTTCTCTGAAGGGAGTGAAAACGGCACCACACAGTGGGGCTGCTTGTAGCTTCCACACACCCCTGAGGCTGGAGGCGGCTCTCGGGAGCTGGGTGTGGAGTGAGGTGCCACCCTAGCCCTGCAGTCCGGGCACTCCGTTGCCATGGCTCACGCCCCAGAACCAGACCCGGCCTCGGGCGACCTTGGGGACGAGAGGCCCAAGTGGGACAACAAGGCTCAGTACCTCCTTAGCTGCATCGGGTTCGCTGTGGGGCTGGGGAACATCTGGCGGTTCCCGTACCTGTGTCAGACCTACGGGGGAGGTAAGTGCCCGCCTGTGTCCTGGGGTGGACCTCAGGCAGGGGAGAACGTCTCCACCCTGACCTGCTGGGCGCCTGCCATGCATCCCCAGTTCGGGGAGAGAATACCTTCTCTAGGAAACCAAGGTGCACCACTGCCCACGGCAGTCAGTGCCCTAGGGCTCCACCTGCAGCCTTCCCAGGCCTCAGGGCAGCTTCCTGCAGGGCAGGTTGAATGGGCCGTGCCACCCAACACTCACACACTGCAGGCTGTGGGCGCGCTTCCACCTTGAACGCAGTTGGTTCTTTTAAGAACACCCAGTGAGCCGTGGGTTTCCTCGCCGGGGCACCTGCTCTCCACATGGGGACACAGAAGGTGGGGACAGCCATGAACCACCGCTCTCAGGGAGCAGACGTACCACCTCACCCACGACACCAGGGTCTTCCTTGGACGCCACGGGCAGGGGCTTCCCAGGCCAGGCCGGGCTGCATGGTCCGGGGTCAGCCTGCCCTCGGCTCCCTCCCCGAGAGCCCAGCACAACTATCCCTTGTCATGAGGTCACCCCTTCTTCAAAGATTTGTTTTCCTCCTGATTAAGAAACGATTCTCAACATGCAGAAAATACTGGAAATGCAGACAAACGGGAAAAACAAAAAGAATCACTGCTGCCCTCAGAGCGTCAGGGGCTCTTTGGGGGGTTGGGCCCTGGACCATCTCATCATGAAAGAGTTCCCTTGAAGGCATTTCTGAAAGCACCAAAGCCCTCACACAGAGGGCACAGGTGTCCCTGGCTCCCGGGCCCTCACTGCCTGTGCCGCAGCTCTGTCGGCTCAAAGTCACCAAAGAGCATGCAGGGTTGTGGGGGCAGCGGGCTTCACGCAGAGCTGGAAATGCAGAGTTGTGGGGGCAGCGGGCTTCACGCAGAGCTGGAAATGCAGAGTTGTGAGGGCAGCGGGCTTCCTGCAGAGCCTGAAATGCAAGGTTGTGGGGGCAGCAGGCTTCACGCGGAGCTGGAAATGCAGGGTTGTGGGGGCAGCGGGCTTCACGCAGAGCTGGAAATGAGGGTTATGGAGGCAGCGGGCTTCACGCGGAGCTGGAAATGCCGGCCAGCGCCTTACCCACCAAGTGCCTGCAGTGTGGCAGGCGTGTCCAGCACTGGTCCCCCGCAAACTCAGCTGCTCCACACCAGGGCAGAGCTGGTGAGGACTGCCTCGGTGCTGCTGAAGAGGGAGAACAGCCCTGCCTGCCAGCTGCGAGGGGACTTCAGAGCTGCTTCCGTCATCATCGACTCTTCCACCAATTTCCTGACCAAAGTCGCCGGGTCGCACGTCAGGAAACACCCAAGTTTATTTAACTCACGTTTCCTAAGTGCTGTGCCATCCGCATTCTCACCCTGTGTGTGAAAATGCCCTTCCGTTTGTCTCACTGTGAATATCACTCATTCATTATTTTGAAAGTAAGACGTAATTAAGAAGCAGACACTGTGCAGCTTTTAAAATCTGCATAAACTCACGACTGCCAAAGGCGAGTAGTATTTGCTCTCTATTCATAAGTTTTTTTTTTTTTTTGAGACGGAGTTTCGCTCTCGATACCCAGGCTGGAGTGCAATGGCGCGATCTCGGCTCACCGCAACCTCCGCCTCCTGGGTTCAGGCAATTCTCCTGCCTCAGCCTCCTGAGTAGCTGGGATTACAGGCACGCGCCACCATGCCCAGCTAATTTTTTGTATTTTGAGTAGAGACGGGGTTTCACCATGTTGACCGGGATGGTCTCGATCTCTTGACCTCGTGTATTGAACTGTATGCATTTTCTCTTCAAAGCTAAGATTTGTAAAGCAACGTTGTAACAGAATGTAACAAAACCCTGCCGTAAAGATTTACAGTGGTTTTATCACATTCTTGACATCTGTGGCAGCTGCTTTATTGCGTAGTCAGTGCCTTTAAATCAAAGGAATGTAGACCCATAAATGCCAAGCAGTGTGTTTAGGCAGCTGCCCAGGACACCCTTCATCGCTTGCTGTGGCTTAAGGTTTCAACCCAGGAACTTTTATGACTGAGCTGGTGGCCCTGGGCTGGCTGTGTCCACACAAGTGAGGTCACTCACCAAGCACGCCCCCTCCCCACTCCTTCCTGCCTCGGCTGATCAACCTACTTCTGTATCTGGCAGCTGCTGTTGAGATCTTTGGATCCTTTCACCAAAAACGACACTGTATTAGTTACCATGGCTTTTCCTAAGTTTTGACGCCTAGTACAGCAAGGCCTTTTTTTGTTCTTTGCCAGCTGCTACTTTTCCTCTGAGCTCTACACCAGGTTGTCAATTCCCAGAAGCGATTCTTGGGCGTGCTCCCGGGTCCTGCGCGGCTTTGCGCCCTGCCTGGGGGGAGTTTCCACCTTGATGGCCTTCGCCTCTCGGAGGCAGTGCCCAGGTGTGGGGGCCGGCCCCGGAGCACCGCCTGCACCCTCCCGGCTCCCTGCTCCGTCTCCTTTCCGCCTTCGTGTGGGTCTCTCCATCATGATCCTGGGTGTGTCTTTGGTCGATTCCCAGCAATCCCTGGCCTTTGCCACAGCTCTGAGCAGAGCCTGCTTTTCCTCTGAATTTGCTCAGTGGCTCACAGCCGCCTTCCCCCTCTTCAGACACCACTGTGACCTCCATGCTCATGAACGACTGTGCTAAACTTCTCATCATTGCTAAAAATAAAAACTGCAGCCGGGACAACTGGATACCCGTCTCCATAAAAATATAAAAATTAGCCGGGCATGCTGGCAGCTGCGTAGCTCCGGCTACCTGGGAGGCCGAGTAGGAGGATGGCTGGGGTCTGGGAGGCAGAGGCTGCAGTGAGCCGTGACTGTGCCGCTGGACTCCAGCCTGGGTGACAAAGCAAGATGCAGTCTCAAAACAGACACCCAAAAAGGAGTTGTGTGGATGTTCTCACAGTGCAGAATCAACCCTCCTTCTTTCTTCAGATTCAGAAAACAATGCATGGACTGACCGTCTCTTCCTGCTCATAAAGCCTGCCCAGTGAGATCCGTGCCCACGCAAGCCGGGGAAAGCATCCTCCGTGCTGGGCTTGGGTTGGCCAACGGAGCCACCGCCCCCAGCCACAGCACTCTGGTTTTTATTTACACTTATGCCCACACGGCATCTGAATATGGCTTTCAATGTATCCAACATTCCACAGAGTCAATGCTCCTATTTCATGAAGATCCTAACTGTGGCCTCGATTTCATCCTCACAGAAAACCCTCTTATCTCTTCTCCCCTAAACACAGCAGATTCAGCTTCCCCAAATCAGTCACAGAGAGAAGCTCACTTCTCCCCAAATCTTTCCCTTCAATGATCTCATCAGGGTGGTCTCTGCTGAACTGACCTCAGCCTGGGCACCTGCTGCCCCAGCCCTGGCTCGATGGCCCTCCCACAGGGCAGGAATCCATGGGGCCCAGGGCACCTGCCAGCCTGGAGCCTACAGTGCTCTCTGGATTGTGGATCCCACAGCTGGAACACAGAGCCCCTGCCTGGTGCGACCTGGTGCCCACACCACCCACATTTGGCCTCCACCTGCCACTGTGCACCTGAGGCCTGAGTGTGGCCACAAAGCCCCTACTGCAGGAGTGTGCTCAGAGCTTGGATGAGTGGCTGGCTACACACCTGCCTCCAGACCTCATGGTGCAGGGTGAGGTGGGGGAAAGAGGGGCTCTCATGGTGCAGGCTGGAGAGGGGAGAGCTTAGAGGGGCTCTCATGGTGCAGGCTGGAGAGGGGAGAGTTTAGAGAGGCTCTCATGATGCTGGCTGGGGAGGGGGGACG